GACCAGTCTTGCCAAGCCAACCTTTCCAGCAGGGCAAAATAACGAGCCTTGTGGATAAGGACCCATAAGGAGAGCTGGTCATGCTGTGGGGTGCTCCTGAAGCTGCCCTATGGGTGTGGGAAAGGGAGTTTCTCCCTCCCAGGCCTTTGCAGGCTTGAAGCGGGAGGTAGGTGCCAGTGACCAGAGAAAATGGGTGCATCAAAACCCACTCCCTACCACTTCACCAGCCTCCTATCCCAGTGTCCAAAGGTGGTGGAAACAGTGTCTGCCAGGATACCACTGCTTACTGAGAGATACCAGGAAGCTGAGCATGGCTTATGGATTCTAAGGCAGACTTACTCACTGGTTTGTGGAGGAGCTCACCTGTAAAGGCCTCTGGCAGATCCCAGAGCCATCCGAATGTGAATGTCCCAGGAGAGATGCTGTTGCTTGGTCAGCACATCCTGCAGTGTCCCGTGCTTGCAGTACTCCATGACAATGGAGAAGCAGGGGCTCCCATCTGCAAAGCAAAATTTTGAGTATCCCACCTTCTGCAACCTCTTGGGAGGGGACCATGACAAACTGAGTTGGGGACAGGCAGGGAAAGGAAAAGGTGACATTAATGTGGCACCCCCTACCTTTCTCCTCAATGCAGATCCCGTACACACGCAGGATGTTTGGAGACTCAAACTTCTTCAGGGTCTGAACCTCCTTCTCAAAGATGTCTTACCTTCCTGCAGAAAGGAACAGCATGGTGAGATCCCTGCAACAGGGCACAACATGGTGCTGAGCCACCCTCCTGTCCCAGGTGCCCTGTGTTGCCTCCACCCTGACAACTCAAGCCGGGTCGGTGGTCAGTGGCCTCTTGAAGGTTTTGATGGCAACGGGGTACTTGAGGTACTCGCCCTTGTAGAGGTTGTAGCTCTCAGTGTCCTGCAGTTTCCTGTCGAAGGTGAGGTGGTCCCACTTGATCTCAGTGACGTCTTCTCTTTTACCAACATGGACCTTCTTCAAGCCTGCTCCCGCCAGGTGTCAAGAGAGAACAAGGGACACATTACACAGATCTCAGAGGGGAAAAACACAATAAACAGGATGCCTTGAGTTGTCACCCAGCTTACAGTGCATCACACACACGATTTTGTTCAGCTCGCTTTGCATCCAGTCCACCTTGCTCTCCATACATTGCCTGTCAATGTAGATCTCCCTGGTCGTGTCTTCAGGCTCCTCCGTACCTGGAGAGAGAAATGCGCAGAGTTGGGACCACTGGATGAACATGTGGGACTGATCCAGTTAGGTTTTTTTCTCATGGTTTAAATGTCCATTTGTCTGTCCTTGGACATGGCCATCAAGCCGAAGGTGGGCAGCAGCTGCAGGGAGGTGCCAACCTCAAGGAAAGAGGGTTTGCTAAATGCAAACTTACTTGCAATCACCTGGTGCAAGAAAGCCTTATCATCCCTCAGGTCCTCAGCATCTTGCCTGCGGCATGTCTTTGCCTGGAAAGCCTCCAGGAAAGCCTGGTTCTGCTCTGCCTGGAGGAGGAGCGAGAGCCCCTGGGCAATGTCCTCCAGGCTTTCACTCTCCCAAACTCCTCACCCATGCGTCGGGCTCTCAGGAACTTCTGGATCCAGCTGGTCTGGCTGTATTTCATCACCAGCCTCTGGGCTTCCCCCAGCGTCCCCAGCAGCTTCTTCAGCAGTTCCTCTTCATGGTAGGAGATGTGTTTTGACAGCTGAGCCTTGAGGATCCTCACAGGCTCCAGCAGAATCTGGATGCGCTCCATAAGGCGCTGGCACTGGTGCTTACAGCACTTGACCTGCTTGAATTGGGCATGGATGGCCTGGGCCACAGAAAGGACCCTCTCCACAATGCCCATGCTTGCAGCAAAGGGCTTGGCCACTGGGGATGTGGACTGGCAGTGTCTAGTGGAGGTGGGCCTCAGATATCGTTCAGAGATCAGCTGGATATCACTCTTCTATGCCTTCTTCTAAGACTGGAGTAGGCACACACAGAGACATCACTAGGAGCAGTATGGCCACATCTCACTCTGCATTAGCAGATGTTTTGGCTTGATTTATATAAAATAATTTACTGCTAGCTGTCTCCAGAGAGCTTACACAGAGACTGGCCCCACACCACCTTGGGGTCCTGCCCCAGAGCCTACATCTTTGACCATAAAGATCCATTTTTATTTCTAGTCAATGTCTCTCTGTTGTCACCCATCTAATGAAAGCTCTTATACCGTCACATCCCCAGTGTTCTTGACTTCATGTTTTCTCCCTCTAGCTCTGTATTGCCCTCTTAAGATTTTCAATCAAACTCTTTCTATGTGCTTAGCATTCCCACAGGGATAGTCCCTCCTCCCCAGCCCATGTCCAGGCAGCTGGGACAGAAAGTTGCCCCTGTTGCACGGAAATGAGCAGCAGCCACCCACATCACTGATGCAGACAGCACTAAGAGAGGGGAGCCAGGCTCTACCAGCTGGAAACAAGACAGAAACTCACCCAGAAACCAGCTCAGCTTCTTGCCCTTCTTCTTTGTCTCTCTCTAGCGTGGCCCCAAAGAAAGAATTAGCTCATCTGCTTGCTAAATCAGCTGGGTTTACCTGGCTCCGCTTCGCTCCCCACAGCTGCCTCCGCAGACTGAGAGACACGGCAGGACCACTTTGTGTTTATAGGGTGCATTCATAGGGTGCTTTCCCCTTCTGCTCCCAGGCAGCGGAAGAGGCATTACGCAACCTGCTATACTTCCCACGCCACCCTGGTTTCCCTTTCCCAGCAGCCTTCTTGGGTGTCAGAGGAAGCTGCCAGGTGGGCTCTATCTGACTGTGCTGGGTTTTGCCTGCTGGAAGAAGGCACTGTCTGTGGGAAGCACCTGGAAGGAAGGGGGGTGGGAGAAGCTGTGCTCCCCATATTGACACTTGTTGCTATTTGGAACACTGCAATCCCTTCTGCTGTGGGCTAGCATCCCTCCCCAGTCCTCAATGGGGCTGCTGGACCCTGCCTCCTTCCTGAGGATTGTGCCACAGCAGCGGACCCACACTGCAGCATCCCTGTGGTGCGCTGCCAAGGACAGAAAGCCAACCATGTCCTGGGCTGCATCCCCAGCAGTATGACCAGCAGGTCGAAGGAGGTGATCCTGCCCCTCTACTCTGCTCTCATGAGACCTTACTTGGAGCACTGTATGCGGTGCTGGTTTCTCCAACATAAGAAGGACATTGGAGAAGGACAGAAGCTGTTGGAGCGAGTCCAGAGGAGGCCATGAGGATGATCAGGGGCAGGAGCACATCCCATATTGAAGACAGGCTGAGAAAGTCGAGGCTGTTCAGCCTGGAGAAGGGAAGGCTGCGTGGAGACCTCTTAGCAGCCTTCCAGTGTCTGAAGGGGGCCTACAAGAGAGAGACTCTTGTAGGGGAGGGACTCTTCATCAGAGACTGTAATGATTGGAGAAGGGGTAGTAGATTTAAACTGAAATGGGGGAAGTTCAGATTAAATACGGAGAAGTTCTTCCCTGTAAGGGTGGTGAGGCACTGGAACAGGTTGCCGAAAGAAGTGGTGAATGCTCCATCCCTGGCAGTGTTCAATGCCAGGGTGGACAGAGCCTTGGGCAACATGGTCTAGCATAAAGCGTCCCTGTCCATGGCAGGCTGTTGGAGCTAAATCATCTTAAGGTCCTTTCCAACCCAAACTTTTCAGTGATTCTATGACAAGGGGTGAGGATGCAGTGATATGGGAGGAGGCAGGGTAAGCAGGGCTCTTCCCTGCTTGCCCAACACATTGTTAACACCCTTAGCACCCTGCTGAGGTCCTCACACTGGCCAGCAGGACCCTCCAGAGGACACCCATCACACACTAGGAATGCTGGTCCTTTGGGACCTTCTGCTTCCCTCCCCATCCCTGAAGCCTCAGGACCCCCAGCGTCAACCAAAGGAAGCAGGCTGCAGGCACCCATGCCAGAAACAGGGCTTGACCTCTTCCAGGAGCAAGGAAGCTTTGCAGTTGGGTTCGTCAGAGGGCAAGGCTGGTTTTGGGAAGCTTGGGGGAGCATATGTTGCTGTTGCCTAACTTCAGAGAAGTGAGCTGTGGCTTACCAGGAGCCTGGGGTCACACAAGTTTGCTGTGGTTTCCCACTGCAGAGAGCATCTCCCTCGTCGTCACCCGCAGCACAGATTTTGCCAGCATATGGAGATATGAAAGGAAACCCCAAGGTATTGCAGCACCAAGGGCCATCAGCACCTGGGAATGGATGTACCCAGGCTGGGAGAATGTGGGAGGAGGCCCAAGGGATACACTAGCCAGACCCTGTTTAAAAGGCTTTATTTTTCAAAATATACAGTTTATTTACAATTGTAGTGTCTACAGTTTCACACAGAACTTTATTCCAAAACCTGCAGTAAACATTCAGGAAAAAAAAAACCAAAAACAACACAAACCCAATCACAGGATCAGCAAAAAGGTATCAGGTAGTAATTCTGTTCATTGGAGTTCCAGTTTTGCATAGCCACTGTCTACAAAAACCATGAACTTGATAAATCTGGGAGAGAGATTTAGGTTTGCAGTGTTTAGAAAAAGACAAAATACAGACATAAAGGATCCCCATGCAAAAGACTGCAGGCCAAGAAAACCCTGTGTGGGATTGGGCCGGGAGAAGGATCCAGGATATGGAAGCCTCTCGGCACAAGTTAGGTGACGAAGTTAACTGCAGCGTGTTGTATGCCCAGAGAGGGCCACAGGGCTTGAGCAAGGTTCAGGGCAGAGGAGGGAGGGTGGCATCAGGCACTTCATGTCTCAGGCAGCAGATCTGCCCATGCATCCATGTCCTGGAGCAGGAGAGCAGCAAGGAAGGGGCAGGAGTGCCACAGGGAGCCCCACAACCTCCTCCTCCTCCCCTTTCCCTGCATCCTCACACCCTATCCCCCTTGGCAATGCCACAGTGCACCACAGGGATGCTCCAGTGTGGAGCCACTGCTGTGGCACAATCCCCAGAAAGGAGGTAGGCTCCTGTGCTGTCCCTCCCCAGGCTCGGAGGGACGCCAGCCCCAGCCGGGGATGGGAAGAGGCAACAGCCAGGTGCCATACCATCAGAGCCGTCAGTCCTTCTTCTCAAAGGTCTCTTCAGGGATGAGAGTCCCAAAGGGGTGATCCCAGAAGCGAGTGGTGATGCCAAAGCCTGTGGGTGGGATAGAGAGAGCTGAGCCCACAGCACCACTGGCACCAGGATGCTGCTTGGGCAGGGCACAGCTTGCTTTACATTAACTGATGAGGGAGAGAAGGGAGGAAGGAAAGGCAAGGGTGAGAAGAAAGAGCAGAAGGAGCTGTCTGGGCCATTCTGGCAGCCCCATGGATGATAGCTTATCTGGATGGGGCGTTTTCTCCTAGGAAACCGGGCAAAGGCCAAGTTGAGCAAGTGCCAGGTTGGGGAAGGTGTGGGGAGGACTTGGGGGAGCCCTGGGCCTCACCCTCAGCCTCACCCTGTGCCTGACAACGCCTCCAGGCAGGATGAGATGCTGCTCCAAGCAGGGACAGGCACCCACAACCATGTCCCTGCCCTGGCAACCCCAGGCAGCATCGGTGCCTACCAGTGAGATGGATTGCTGCCTTCACCCCTGCAACATGACAGCTCCCCATCCTCAACCTGGGAGCCAAGAAAGGTGACCAGTGGGGCTGCAACACCTCATATACCACTTCTCCAGCAGCATGGGTGGGCTTCCCCATCCCAAATACCAAACATTTCAGAGCATCAGCTGCACACACGCAAGGAGGTGAGGCTGTGACAGCCCTTGCTCCCTGCCAGCACACATGGGCAATGGAGCACTACCTGATTTTTGGTGTTCAAAGTGGTGCTTGACGTGATAAGCCTTCAGGCCATACAGGTAGGTGCCCTTCTTCGGTGACCCATAGTGGAGGTAATAGTGCATCATGTCGTAGATGACGTAGCCACAGAGCCCCCCAACAAACACTGAGAGCCCCAGCACCTCGGGCAGCAGGAGCTGCAGGACGCCATAGAAGAAGCCGATCACTAGCGAGGCTGGCACGGGAGGAAACACCAGGCGGGAGCTGTCAAAGGGAGACTGGAAGCAGAGAAAGATGATGGGAAAGGGAGCTCCTAGCTCACCTCACAATTCCCAGCATATCCCTGCGAAGCAGGCTGGGAAAAGCAAACACCAAAGCCTCCAGAAACCCCCCCCAAAAGATGAGCCCAGCAGCGAGAGCAGCCACTTGCCCTCGCCAAGGTGGCTGGGCAGCTGGTGGGTTTGGAGGTCCCTGAGCTCCACAAGGACATTTTATCCAGTGAAGCTAGAGGGAGCCCATGGCTTTTTTGGTCTTCCCACTTGCCCTGACAGAGCTTGCAGCTTTGACTCCAGCTCCTCAAGAGCCCATCTTGCAGTCCTCACCAGCATTAAGTAAGGGCCCGGCTTGGGGCAAAGATGTCACAAGTCGCACATTGAACACGCACCGACAGGCTCCGCCTGAGCAAAGGCCACTGTTCCCATGCTCAGTGGGTGCCAGCAGAGGTGAGCTGTGACTCACCTTGTGATGCTGCCCATGCAGCAAGAAATGCAGGGTGATGAGATAGTAGTTACTAGCAGGTGGCTTCATGTGGAAGACAAAGCGATGGATGAGGTACTCTAGCAGGGACCACAGGAACATCCCCAGGAGGAAGATGAAGGGGAAGTAATATTTGTGGACGGGGATGGAGTACTCTACACAATAAGACATGCAGCCGTTAGCAGGGCAGGTGATACGCAAGTGCTCTTCTCCTTCACCATCCTCTTCCTCATCAGCTTTCCCTCCCTCTCACCTGTCATCCACCTCCTGCCCCGAGCTTCACCAGGGAGCTCCTCAAGCACCACTCCTAGACACATCTTCCTTTGATTTCCACTAATTTATACTCGTTATGGAAACAGTTGGCTTCTTGCTGCCACAGGGAGCTGGTGAGGGGGGTCCCCTACATCCCAGATGGTAATGAAGGGCTTGGGATGTGCACTTGTAGGGACAACCCTGTCTGAACAAAGCTGCTTCACCCTCCAGAACAAGGCAGGAGGGACCTTATCTGTGGAGGCAGCACTCATCACAGTTAAACAGTGCTGCGGTGCTGTTTTTTTATTATCTTTGGGGAAAAAGAATGGGTTTGTTGGGCACTTTCCCCCACAGAGCATTTTTCAGCCACCTCCTCCTTTCAGGGCTGGCTGACAGCCCTGCATCTTTGCTGAAAGAATTCAGATCTCCCCCAGTGTGTTCAATTTTGGGGAAAAAAAAAAAAGCCCAAAACCAAAACAAAACCACCAAACCCTTGGCAGCAAGGTGTCGAATGCCATGAGGAGCAGGACGTTGCCAGGGCAGCCGGGCACAGCTGGCACCGGCTGGCACCTTGCAAAAAAAACAGGGAGCCCAGCAGAAGAAAAAAGGACAACAAAGACGACAGCCTGCCCTGGCCATGCTTGTTATTCCCGGGGGAGCAGACAGTGGGAGATTCAAGGGCAGGCACTCCGGGCAAACAAGCCCTGCACTGTGCGATGCCAACGGCGCTGAGAGCTGGGTTTGTTCGCCTGCTATGCTGGCATCCAGCGGTGGCCCAGGGTGGGTGTCAGTGGGTTTGGCACACACTGTAGTGCCTTCAGGGCTTGGGTTTGGGATGGAAGGAAGGGAGGGAGAAAAGAGGGAGCAGTCTGCGTGCTCCATGGCTCTATCTATGTTCTTTGCTGGGACAGAACGGTGTACATGAGAGGAGGGGATGGAGGTGGGTGAGCTCAGGCTTTAAAGTAATGCAGGCAGCTTTGTGAAGGGGACATGCCAGTGGCCATAGGGACAGGGGGTCACCCGCTACTTGTGCATGTGACTCGTATTGAGCATGCATGGAAGAAGGGATGCAGAAAAGATGCAGAAGTCTTCACCCCACCCCAGAACCAAACTGGGAGCAGTGAGTGAGCACAAAGGCTTTGGTGCTGCTTATACCTGTGGTGAAAGAGGAGAAGAGCCTTGTGTTGCCCTGGGCAAGGGAGGTGTAGCTGACCCAGCTGAGATAGAGCACTACAGGAGTCCACACCATGAACACCACATACCTGTGGGATAGAGGGAGATACCAGAGAGCGTCCCATGGGGTGGGGCAAGCTGTGTGTCATCGCCCCCCCTCCCCATGGAGGCACTGGCCAGGGCATGGCACAGACCCCAGGGGCTCACCACGCTGTCTTGGAGAGGGACTCGAGGAAATCCGAGTGGAAGAGGCGGATGGGACGATCCACGGGCTGGTGCACCCACTCATCGTACTTCTCCCCCAGGTAGCCCACCTGCCACAGCAAGGGCTTCTGCCAGTCCACCAGGTCCTGAGGGAGTAGACACCAGTTGTACCCACACACTGCCCTGGTACTGGACACAGAGTTGTGGGATCTGGAGCTACAAATCCCATTCCATGCCCCACAAGCAGCTGCTCCTTGTTCCAAGTGGCCCAAAGCTCCCTGTAAGCAGTGGCACAGGACAGACAAGCAGAGCCAGACACACATCAGCTCCACCTACACACAAGCACAGGGCTGAGCTCACCCCCTGTGCCACTGGGTACCTGCCAGTGGTTCAAGGTGAAGGTGGCTGTACCAGACCTGGCTCAGAATCAGGTCCCAATAACACAGGCTCTCTCTCCACTGGGAGCTGCCAAGATTAGATAGTGAGCAGCAATATTGCCCCCTCACCAGCCATGCCAGTGAGGTGGAGGTCAGATGTGGAGCCCATCCCCATGGCATTGCCCTGACCAAGGGCTTTTCTCCTTGTGGAGAGGACACACAGGGCAACCACAGCTATTTGAGTGCTCCAGCAGTGAGGAGTGAAGCAGAAAGGGATGGGGAGCAGGGGGACAGGATGGGAATACAAACATCGGTTATGCTCCCATGCATAACTGCATTCAGATGGCTGAAAAAGCAAGAAGGGACCCGTGCAGCTGTGCATGTCTGCATGGGACAAAAATAGAGAGGCACAACCGGCAGCACCACCTCTGCTGCTGCTCAGCATCCCCAGGCACGTCTTCTGCTGGCCTGGCCAGATAAGGTGATTTCTTGGTCCCACCCCTGCCCTGGGACAGAAACCACGCTCACGATGCCAAGCCCCAGGCCTGGAACCTCTCCATTGTCCAGCCTATGCTGCGCACCACAGGCACAGCACCAGCACCTGCAGCTGTGCCAGTGGTCATTTGTCAGTGGTGGCAGGGGGTGGCTCAGTTTGGAGAGCTTCATAGCAAAGGGCTGAGGTGGCCATGGCCTTTATTTGGGCTCTGCTGCTGGCAGGGATGGATGTGATCACCCAGGAGGGGAAACAACCCTAGCCTGCAGGGGTGCAAGGCATGGAGACACCCTCCATTGGGGAGGTAGAGGAAAAATCAGAGCAAAAATGTCTCTTTGGGGTAACTGATTTTAAAGGCAGGCAGCAAGTGAAATATAAAGGGGGGGGGGGGAGGGAGTGAAAGGTGTTCTCCTGCTCAAAATAAAACGACCTTTTGCAAGATAAAGGCACACTCACTGAGGAGCATGCAAGGCTCCTCAGCAGCCAGAGGGTGCCACGGAAGGAAGGGACATTCGAAGGCACCTTGGGGACAAATCCCTGCCTCTGTGGTGTACTCAGATTGGAGCTAGCAAGACAGGGAGCACTCTGCACACAAGAGGATCACCCTGCCCAGGACAGGGGATCCCTTAGTACTTAGTCAAGGGGGAAAAAAGTGGAGAAAAGCAATAAGTAAGGCAAGTAAGGTGTGGACTGGCAGCACATCCCACTTGACGGGCATGGCTGCTGTCAGAGAGAGCCATTTCCTCCCACGCCGCCACAGCAGGAGCCTCCCAGCACAGCCACGCCTGGGCAATAAAGCAGGAGTGATGCTGTCTGTGCTGGGAGAAAGGGCAGAAGCAGCTGGCTTGGCCCACCTCCCTCCTGGCATCCCTCCCATCCCCGGGGTCAGCAGCCAGACAGCGTTCCTGCAGGGGACAGGATAGCTGGCCTTCCCCAGGAGCACTCTGGCAGATCCCCAGCTCTCACCTTCCCCACATCCACTGTTTTACAGCGGGGATCCATCCCTGCTGGGGTCTGGGTTGCAGCACCCACTGTCTGCTCATCCACTGGCTTGGTAGGGTTCTGGAAAAGGAAGGAAAACCCTGCAGTGAAGCATGGGTGACAGACATGGTTGCGGACAGAGATGGCCGTACCAGCCAGGGGCACGGGCACAGCGCGCTCATGACTGCCTGCTAAATGAATCAGAGGGAAATATCTGATGAATTTAAGTCAGTCAGTACCTGCAGAGCAGGTTCCCGAGGGATGTGGCCACCAGCTATCCTTGAACTGCCCATCAGGCATCGCACGCTCAGGTCTGTTTGGAACCTCTCCCCAAGCCCAGTGTTCAGAGCACCTCACCATGCTGCCAGCAGGGCACCCGGTTCTGGTGCTTCAGGAGGCATCACTGGGTTAGTATTCACCACATTGGCAATGGGCTCCCTCCTGACCCCACTGCTCCCCGGCAAAAGCCTGACTCAGCATTTTGGTTCCCAAGGTTCACTTTGGAGCTGGGAAGCATGGCACAGCTGGTGGGATCACCCTGGCACCAGGCACCAGAAAGAAATGCACCAGGAGGGAGCTCACTGCAGGGAAAAGGCAAAGTGCCATTTGCAGGGTGCTGCTGGGCCTGGCACCTTGGACACAGGCTGTACAAGGTGGGGTGGGGAGGCTTGGTTTTGGCTAGAAAAGGCACACTGAAGCTTTGGGGATGAAGCAAGATGAGCCCAGATTGCGGTCCTGCTGCCAGGGCTGGCCAGGAAACAGGAGAAACCTGCCTTGTGCAGAGCTTTGAAGTAAATCCATCACCAGCCACCGGCAGCGGCCTCCTTCCCGCTGTGCTGCCAGCTCTGGCCCTGCTGCCACCACAGGGCTCGGTGAGGGCACGGCGTGCCTATGCAAGCCCAACACCGGCCATGCCCCGCGGCACCGGCCGCCTGCCGGCTCCAAGGCAGGACGTGCCAAACATGCCTTCTCTCCTGCTTTGTCACCTTGAGTTACCCATTAACCAGCAGCAGGGTACGGTGTGGCCCGGCAGCCCTGACACACCAGTGCCCGCCGGGGCTCCCAGTTGTTCTGGGAGGAAGGGAGTTCTCCCCGCAGTCATCATGGGTCCTCAGTGCATGGTCTCCCCACTTCTCCAAGAGGGGTGCGATTCCCTGTGGGAATAAACACCCCAGCAGCCACTGGGAGCTGGGATGCAGGAGGATCAAGTGTCACCTCACTAGGGGGGACAGGACTTTACTCCCTGCCACATTGGTGACACCGAGGCAAGGCCCCAGCACTCCTTGCCAGTCAGGCTCCCAGTTCCTGTCCTGGGCTAGCTGGATTTCAAGCCTCATTCCACTGCTACAGGAGCTGCACTACCCAGCCCTGAGGCAGCCTCTCACCCTGGGGCAGGGCAGGGCTTATTTCCAGCAAGGCTGGACCTGAGAAAGCATCAGTTTTACTGGAGGCAGAGCACCAGCATGAGCTCTAGACCACCACATCTCCCTCTGCAGGGCCCCCCACTGCTATTTTTGGCTTTGCATGATCTGTCTTTCAGGCAGACCTCCAAAAACTGAGGTGGGATGCCTTGAAATTCAGCTGAGGATGGTGAAGTCATGGCTTTGCCTCCTTCCCACTGATCCTTTGGGAGAAAATTTGGCTTTACAAGAGAAAGAGACAGCTCCTCCTTCCCCCAGAAAATGAGACCCTGCTCTCCACCTCAATGCTTGCACCTCAGCCTTGCTGGCAGCAGGAAGGATGCTTAAGAAAGCACGCTGATGCAACCCCCGGGCACCTCTCCTCCCCTTCCTGACATATCCACATGCCTCTATCTCCTCTGCCCACGGACACCCGAGCACCACATCATGTCCAAAGGCTTCCCTGTCCTTCCAGGTCAAGGAGGTGGACAGGGGCTCAGACCGCACCTCACTAGCAGCACCCAGTCTGGGCAGGTCGGGTGCCACCAGTGTAATACCATCGCCCTGTGTGTTCCCTTGCAGCACCCTGCCTCACCCGAGTCACCTCCTCCTCCTCAGCAGGGAACCATAAGGAAGGCTCTCCTCTTGCTCATCCCAGGGCTAGCACCAAAAGAACCAGCAGCAGTGGCGTAATGGGGTGCAAGCCATGCATGCATGCCCTGGCTCGCTCCTTGGAGCGGCAGCGCACTCCTTCCTTCCCGGACCACACAGGGATCCTTTATGGACCAAGAGCCATCAGCACCCAGACCAGCACTGGAGCTTCTGCCCTCCTCCTCTTCCTCATAAAAGGTGGGTTTGAAGAAGGCTGAAGGGGTCTTTGTGAGTGCCAGGTTCTGCCTGTTGCCTGTGTGTGATGCTGATGCATCAGTGTCGTCCCCAGGCAAACAGGTCCTGCCAGGAATGATGTGCAAGAACCTGATGTAACGAAGGGAAAGTTAACACCTACAAAGACCATGTTCCCACTGCCACCCCAGCAAGGTGCTGGCTCTCCTGCTGTGAGGCAACATGGCCAGACACTCAGGGCACAGCATGATGTGGTAACTGGGTGACCCTGCACCCACCTCCGAGCATCCCTCTGCCCTGCACGGGTCAGGCAGGGAGCTGATCGCTGGTCCTGTGCCAGCCAGACAGCACTGGCTGTAGAATCCTAGCCTGTTTTGGGTTGGAAGGGACCTCAAAGCTCACCCAGTTCCAACCCCTGCCATGGGCAGGGACACCTTCCAATAGACCAGGTTGCTCCAAGCCCCGTCCAACCTGGCCTTGAACACTGCCAGGGATGGGGCAGCCACAGCTTCTCTGGGCAACCTGTGCCAGGGCCTCAGCACCCTCACAGGGAAGAACTTCTGCCTAAGATCTCATCTCAATCTCCCCTCTGTCAGGTTAAAGCCATTCCCCCTGTCCGGTCCCTACAAGCCCCTTGTCAAAAGCCCTTCTCCAGGTTTCTTGTCAGTCCCTTTAGGTATTAAGGACTGTTAACAAGGTCTCCGCTGAGCCTTCTCTTCTCCAGGCTGTTGCTGCCCAGAAGCAGGGCTCAGGATGAAGGAAAACAAACCCAGTATGATGTGGGCAGGTACAAAGAGGAGAGATGGTCTGGCATGAGGCCCAGTGTGCCTGGGACACAGGCAGGAGGAGAAGCTGGAAACCTCACCCTGGCCCAAGCAGGGTGATGCTGCATGCAGACCACTGCTCGAACAGCAGCCTTGGATCCAGTTTTCTATCCAAGAACCTCCAGGACCTTCACCAAGCTCCTAAGCCAGCTCAATTTGCTGTTGCCCACACAGGAGAAGCTGTGTTGGCAATGTAGGCTCGGGCATGTAGCACAAGGACACCCCACGAGGCACAGGGAGCCCAGGCGAGGGCCCCACCCGCAGTGGCATGGTCCCAGCATCACCATCCCACCAGCATCACCATGCCCGGACAGTGGCTGGCAGAGCCCCCTGAGGCTGCTTCGCAGCCCATTAAACTGGGTGCAGCAGGACTATTAAAATGAGGTGGAATTTAACTTGTTCTAATGACAATAATAATTAAAAAGTCATTTCTTGTTGCAATGCCTGCAAAGAACATGTGAGCGCTTATGTCCAAGTGAGGTCAGGGTGGGATGGAGAACCAGGGCAAGCCCGACATGGGGTGATGTGGGTGAAAGGAAGGGGAGGACACCAACCCCAAGAGGCATGGGAGATTCACCGTGACTCATGACCACGTCACACACCGCAGAGAGGCTGTGATGAAAGTCTCTCATTGCTTAAATTGGAGGGGTAATTAGATGATCCAGTTTCCCTCTGGCAAGGCTGCTAAAATCCACTGTCTAGTTTGGGTAATTGTTGCTTCTCACTTTGATCTCCCCTATATATTCTGCATATTTATGCATAGATAAAGAGGAGGGTTAATTTGTCCTTAGCCAAATGAGGCTGGGTGATGCAGAAGAGGGACCTCCAGCAGCAGGATGGAGCCGAGCTCCCAAGAGCAGCAGGAAGAGGCACAGAGAGGCTTGCCAGCCGGATGAAGGCTGCCTCTCATCTTCCTCTTTGCCTTTCCTGCACTAATCATAGAATCCCGTACTGGTTTGTGCTGGAAACGAGGTTAAACTCATGGCGTTCCAACCCCTGCCACAGGCAGGGACACCTTCCACTAGACCAGGTTGCTCCAAGCCTCGTCCAACCTAGCCTTGAACACTGCCAGGGATGGGGCAGCCACAGCTTCTCTGGGCACCCTGGGCAAGGGCCTCACAGGGAAGAACTTCTTCCCATTTCCAAACATAAGCAGGCAGGGATGCTGGATGCCTGCAGGACCACAGCATGGCATGGGAATGGTGCAGTTCTGGGACTCCCGATGGATGAGAAGCACCAGCAAAGCCGTGGGAGTCCAAGCCAGACTACAGCAATGCAACACTTCCTTCAAAGAACTGCTTAGGGTCTGCCAGCCCAAAAGTAGCCAAAGCAAAATCCTAAGCACCAACGATGGCATCAATTCCCCTTCTCCCTCCAAAGGATTTTTGGGGGTGGCAAGTCTGTCAGAGCAGCTCACACAAGGTGCATGCTAGATGCAGCACAGCCAGCCTTGCCATGCAGAAGGCAGCTTCTTTGCCTCTCCCCCCCCCCCCCCCGCCGTGTTACAACCTGGGATGGTTTATCTAGTGCCAGGTAATGTCTGATCTCCCTGCACTCCAGTGTTATCACGCCGTGTATTTGCATAGGGACGGTGGCAATTCCCTGTGGTGCGAGAACTTGTTTGTCCGGAACCTTCCTTTGCCCCAACCCGTTGGGCTCGTCACGCCTGCGAGGAGGCGGCAGCAGCAGCAACGAGTGTCCCAACAGAAGAGGTGCCATCTCTGGGACCCAGGGAATGAGCCGGCATCGCGCTGGGGCTGAACAAAACCCCATCTGTGGCCCTGCTGCTGATCAGGGCTGAGGCTGCGCCACAGGGAGAGAGTGCAAACAACCAGCCAGAGGGACCGAGTGGTCATTGACCTTGCCAGGATGTCAGGAGGGGAAAGCACTGAACTGGGCTAGCAAAGGGGTGGGGTGGCCCCACTGCTCGAGCATCCTGGGGCGGCAGCACCCGCTGCCACGCTGCCTTCGGAAAGTCCACCCAGCAGAAGTGCAGCTTCCTGGGGCACTTTCCTTTCTGCATGGGCAGTGGCTGAGCATGGGGCTGTCGTGGAGGGGATGGTGCTGAGTCACAACCACCCTTATCCCACACTCAGACGTTGGGGAGGTGACCAGGCTCCTCACTGCAGTGCTGGCCACTAGCTGCCGGCAAGTCCTGGTGCCCTGCACCCCAGTCCCCGAGGGCCAGCAGTGCCAGGAAGATTGCCCTGCCCCATTGCCCACCCCGTGCCACTCAGCTCTACTAAAACCAACACTGAGCTGGATGTCCCCATCTCCCACACCCCTCCAAAGACCCAAGCACCTCTCTGCCATGCTGGCATGTCAGGATCCACTATCAGTCCTGCCATCCATCATGGCCAGGGTGGGATGTGTCCATGGGATGGGATCCCAAAGATACCAGGCTTTGGATGCCTGGGACATGGTCACTCTCAGGCCCTGAGCTGCCTGGACTCTATGTGTCTTGGGATCCTCTGCCCCAGAGAGTCCACCCCCACTGACATTGACAGCCCCACAGATTTGCCTGGAACCAGCATGCTCCATGCACCTGGGACCTTTGCACCCCGTACACCTCACGCATACAGGGGTCCAGAAGCCTCAAACATGCCCTGTCCCAAACACCGCTCATGCTCTGAACACCCCAGAACCTCCACAGCCTACAGCTCTGACCTACACCTGGATGCCATATAAACCCTATATGCTACATGCACCCCAAAGCTCCATGGCCAGTACACCCCAGACCTTAAATAGCTTCTGCATGTCCTGTACTGCCTTAAACCCATGGAGCCTGGACACAGGATCCCTTAGAGACTCTGTACAGCTCAAACTGCATGCACCCTGGACTTGGGGTGCGCTACAGACTCATGCACTGCTCAGATCCCACACAGCCTGAGCAATCCAATGGGCTCTGCATGCCCTGGACCTGGGACACCCCAGATGTGGAGCACCCTGTGGGCTCTGTACACCCTGGACTTGGGAGACCCCATATCTGGGACACCCTATGGGCTCTGTACACCCTGGACCTGGGACACCTTGGACCCCCAATGAGCTCTGCACACTCTAGACCCGGGACACCCTCTGTGCTGTCAACCGCGGCCGCCGGCGTTACCTGCTCCTCGCCGGGCTCCATCTCCCCCACGTAGTACTGCTCCAGCCAGCGGCGGGCGTTGTCCGAGTGCCGGTGCGGCGGCCCGTCCAGGGCTGCGCTCACGTCGGTGCCCGCGCGGCGCCGCAGCAGCTGCTCCCCTCCCGGGTGCAGCCGCACGAACCCGCTCAGGTCGTAGAGGCGGCGGCGGCAGGACACGAGGCAGGCGCCCTGCGCGCAGCGAGCCCGCACCTCGGCGGCACTGAACGACCGCGGCGACGGTGCCGGTGCCGCCGCCATGGCCCCGCTGACCGCAGCTTCCTTTCCTTTCCTTTCCCTTCCCTTCCTTTCCCTTCCCGCACCGCACCGCACCGCACCGCTCTGCCGGCACCTGCACACCCGCGTGTGGGCATATGCCACCCGGCCACGCCCCTCAATAGGCCACGCCCCCCGGACGGGGCTTACCCGGGGAAGCTCCGCCCCCTCACCGAGAGCGACGGGAGGGGAACGGGGAGCCCAGGGATGGGTGATGGGGGGGCTGGGGCACCCCGGGGTGGGAATAAAGCAGCCACAGGGGGGTGATGCAGGAGGAGGGCTCCAAGGGGGCACCCCAGGGAGGGCACGGGGGCACTCGTGAGGGTGGGTTATGGGGGGCACTGTGGCACTCAGGGGTCGGGGGAAGTGGAGCATGGGGCACCCTAGGGGGAACTATGTGGGATAGGGATATCCCTGGGGGGGTAACTGGGGGTACGGGACATCCCTCCCCCAAGCTTCGTGGTGGCTGAGGCAGGGGGAACCCAATCCTGGCTCACAGCCCACCCAGGAGAGACCACCCCTCCCCAGTGTCACTTGCCATGAGGAGTTATGTGTCCCCCAGCTAATTAATACTTAATTAAATGTCGCACATGTGATTAGCCAGGGCAGGCAGCACTGCGGGGGGGGGGGGGGGGAGGGTAGACCAGCACCCCCAGCCCCTCTCCCCCCCTCGAGAACCACAGACAGATAAATCACAAGGAATGACAAGAAAGGAGCTTTTCCCCCACTCCGGCAAAGCACTCCCTCCAAGAAGCACTGGGGCTGGGGGGGGACAACACTGCTGTGGGGTGACACCCTTGACCACAGGTTGGACACATACTGGCATATTTTGCTGTCACTGGCCACAGGCGGTGATTAAGGTGGGGTTTGGAGTCAAGAATGAGGGGACGCCCCCGGCCCTGCCCCAGCACCCGGCTTTGGGGTATTAAGAGAGGCCTTTAATCAAGGCAGATGCAAAACTTGTCATGGTGGCTTCACCTTCCAGCCCTGCTCCCAGCGTCACATGGAGCTGTTGGAGCAAGTCTGGAGGAGACTATGATGATGATCAGGGGCTGGAGCACCTCCCATATTGAAGACAGGATGAGAAAGTCGGGGCTGTTCAGCCTGGAGAAGGAAAGGCTGCGTGGAGACCTCATAGCAGCCTTCCAGTATCTGAAGAGGGCCTACAAGGGGGCTGGAGAGGGACTGTTCATTAGGGACTGTAGGGACAGGACAAGGGGCAATGGTTTAAACTTAAACAGGGGAAGTTCAGGTTAGATCTTAGGCAGAAGTTCTTCCCTGTGAGGGTGGTGAGGCCCTGGCACAAGGTGCCCAGAGAAGCTGTGGCTGCCCCATCCCTGGCAGTGTTCAAGGCCAGGCTGGACGGGGCTTGGAGCAACCTGTTCTAGCGGAAGGTGTCCCTGCCCATGGCAGGGGGTTGGAACTGGGTGAGCTTTGAGGCCCCTTCCAACCCAAACCAGTCTGGGATTCTGTGTGGTCAAAACCATCCCTTGGAGGCCTTGCAGAGATTAAGGTCTCTCCAGTGAGTGTGGAGGCAGTGGCACCACCCCAAGGTGGATGCTGAAGGAGCAGAAGGGACCCCGGCTGTGGCCTCACCAACACTGCCTCCCGTGGCTGTGCTGTCTCCCTGCCGCCCAGGCCGGTCCTGCCGGTGGTATGGGTCCAGCCCCACCACAGCGTCCAGCGGCTGCTGCAGTTCCTGGAGCAGCAGCCCCCAGCGCGTCCTGGTCTGTCCCAAGCTCCCCCCAGGGCCCGCGAAACCCGGGAAAGGCATTTCCTTCCCTTCACACCCACACCCAGACAGGACAAGGGAAGGCAGGCCAGGCGCCACGGTGATGGCCCAGGAGCCAGGGGGATGCTCCCGGGTTTCTGACTGCCCAGGTCCCTCGGGCACATCGTGCTGCAAAGGGCCATGAGAGGGGGTCGCTTGTGGTTTCAGCTCCTGGCAAGGATGGGATCAGCTTTTGCCAGCTCCGGTTTCCCAGCACAGCACAGGGTGCACCGATGGGTCTCTTCTGTGGCGCCCACCTAAGTACGCAGGGGTTGCTGTCCCAGCTCCCCCACATCAGGGCTTGAGGACATCAGTGAGCTGACACCGTCTGCCCTCGCTACAGGTTGCTGACAGCTCCCGGGCTCCATGGTGGGGCTCTGTCCTCTGTGCAAGGGACAGGGATGTCCCCAGGGTGGGCAAGCAGACCCCCAGGTATGCGGTGAGGATGTCACCCGTGGGAGCAGGGATGCTCCAAGCACTGGAGGCACTGGGAGAAGGCTGGTGTGCAGGCCAAGCTGTATGACAGATGCTGCTGTCACAGCAGTGGAGAGTGTTGCCACTGTACCCCCATCCAGCCACAATCCTCATCCCTGTCCCCACATCGTGCTGGCCCCCAGTGCGAGCAGCATCCAGGAGTGGAGCCAGGTGATGATTAGCCTGGCCCAAACGAGAGCAGCCAAGTGGTTTTCGCTTCTCAGCTCTGAACTGGTTTACCCACCAGGCAGACGCCGGGGCTGGTGTGAGACAGACGCAGGAATGTGCCACAGGGCTTTGGGCAGGATCAGACCCTATAGTGCAGGCACAGGCTGGCACTGGTGGAATGGTGCTGCAGCCACAGGGGAGGAGAGGGCTGACACAGGCACTGCAGCATCCCTATGGAGAGCTTCTCCTTGGCATGCTCTCCAACATCACTCTTCCTTGTTTTGCTGCCAAACTGATCAATGGAGATTAAACTTCCTTCTACATGCATGGAGAGACTTGGCGGGCACAGGAAAGGCACCCATGCTCCCCGTCCCCCTGCTAGTTCTCCAGGGCACAAGAAGAGTTTAAAAAGCTCACGGTGTGGGCTGCCCCGGGAGCTTTCTTGTCCAGGTACACTTGGAAAGCCAGTGTGGATGCACTGGGCAGCCCTGGGCATACACTCAGCAGGCGGCTGAAGCAAGTCCTGCCAAAGCAGCTGCTCGGCCTTGGCCCAAAGGTCCCCCATGCTCAGCAACCACCTGTGCAAAAGCCAGCAGTGACAGGGCAAGATCAGGCACAGTGGTATCTCCACAGAGCATTGCTGGTGCTGCACATGGCCTGGGATGGAGCTTCTGCCCTTGGAAATACCTGATCACTCCCAGAGCCCTGGCAAACCCACGGCACTGGTGATGCCCTGAGGGAAGTGGTTTCACACCCTTCCCATGCTCCTGCCTCATGCTGAGTGGCCAGTTTAATTCAATATCCCCTTGTCCTGCACCAGCAGAAACCACAAAGGGGTCACACCGTTTCCCCAGCACTCAAGAGTAACCATGGTCCATGACCTTGGTGGCTGGATGCCTTACGTGATGTGCATGGTCTGACCATGGCAGCATCCTCAGAGCTGGTTCAGTGTGAAGGGTGCCAAGACGTCCCCTCTTGAGCTATGCCTGCCTTCTTCTTTTAAAGCCTGACATTTTAAGAGATTTGGCCAGATCTGGGAACTGTTTACATGTTAACAAACAGCAGGTGGCTCAGGGGAAAAGCAGTCAGGGACAGAGCAGATGGAGGCGCTGGTGTGGGTGCAGCAGCATGTCCTGTCTTGATTGCTGGTGCCGAGCACAGCAAGGGCAATACACTTCTCATTGGGTTCTGGGCAGGTGAGAATAAACCATTCCAGTTTCCTTGCAGTAGTTATTTCTGCATTGAGCAAGACCGCTCCCAAAGCAACCACCACACATACTGCAGGGTGTGAGACAAACACCTGCAGCGTCCAGGAAGAAATTCCACTTACCTGTGCAGGGTTGCACAAACAAGCACAGCAAAGTCCTTTTCTTCCTTCCTTCGAAGCCTCAGCTGCCCTCCACCTCAGGCACATTCAGATACTATGGAGATAGACCCTAATGAACTGTAATAACACATAAACGCTGGCATCCATTGGTCCATCACCCTTAAATCGCATGCGTCCTTTCCCTCCCAACCTACGCACGCACTCGAGCATGGAAATGAAAACACTTCCGAACTGAAGGGCTGGCATGTAGGAAGGTGGACAGCAGGAGCTGCCAGTAACAGCATCCTCACCCCAGGCCCAGCTCAGCACCTACTGAGCTTGCTGGGGGTGCAGGCACTGCCTGCAGCCCCCCTGAGCTGCAGGATGTGGGGTTTGGTTCAGCAGCAGCACAGACACTGCCTGGCTTCACTTTCATAGAATTACAGAGTGGTCTGAGTTCGAAAGGACCTTAAGATCATCCCATTCCAGCCCCCTGCCATGGGAAGGGACACCTCACACTAGACCCAAGGCTCTGTCCAACCTGGCCTTGAACACCGCCAGGGATGGAGCACTTACCACTTCTATGGGCAACCTATTTCAGTGCCTCCCCACCCTCACAGTAAAAAGCTTCTACCTTCCATCTAACCTGAACTTTCACTGTTTCAGTTTGAACCCATCACCCCTTGTCCTGTCACTACAGTCCCTGATGACAAGTCCCTCCCCAGCATTCTTGTAGGCCCCTTAAGATACTGGAAGCCTGCTATGAGGTCTCCACTCACTGTTTTCCCAAGAGGTGCCTCACAACCCATGGGCAGCTACCAGGCACCATCACATTATCCTGCTGCGAAAGTCAGTCTGGGGGTCCCTGCAGCAGGCAGTGAGCCCCACAGCTACTGCAGCTCTCTGGGGCTGCTGTGTGCAGGTATCCAGAGCAGGATCCCAGTGTGGGGTGCAGGGAGAGGGCTATGGGTGCAGCAGCGACTGCCACACTAGGAGGGAGAGCTGTGGAGGGCTCCCCAAGGAGGGAGAACCAGCACAGCAACATCAAGTTCTACCAGAAGAGCACTTAAAAAAATATCTTTAATGGTATAATGTTTTCAGAGACACCCATCTGTTTATTCCACAGCAAAGCTGGCACAAAGGCTGGGAGCAGGCATGGCACATGGCCCTGCACATCAGGCAAGCACAGGAAATTGGGATCAGTGCTGGCATGGCATGGTAGTAACTCCAGCGGGTTCAGCCCTCACCACCCATTTGCCCAAAGCCAAAGCTCAGGCCAAAGCCTACTCAGAGGAGCTCGAGGTGCACAGGGCATGCACACAACCGCACAGCATCCCTGGGGTGGGAGTGCCCAGGGGCACAGCCCCAAACAGATGGATCAATCTGGTACATTCTGCTATTGAAGCTCCACAGGGAGAAAAGGCACAAACCTTTTGCCTCCATGAATCCCACCACCCTTCCAAAACCCCTTTTCCCCTCAAAATTGCTCCCCATCTCAGAAGCCTTGCCACTCAAGCACACTGTCAGCAAACCTCAACTTATTCACAGATTTTCCTCATAGAGCATGGAGAAAACAGTCAAAAGGAGTTGCACGAAGCAAGCTCAGAAGGGAAGAAAAGGCTGTCTGAAACCATCTCAGGTGTCACCACCCATGGAAATGCTGCATGAATCCCAGACTCAAAAGGCAGCATCACTGACAAGGCAGGGACAGGCAAGTTAAAGTGCATTATATCACCAGGTCAGAGCAGCAGATGGAGACACTGGAGTAACAGGACTAAAACTGCTGGAAGAAAGGAATTGATCCCAGTGACCCTGGGCATACGGTGAGGCTTTACACACCAGCCACAGGTATAGACCCGTGATGGAGAAGCTATTTAGGAAGTAATCCTAAAAAATGTCACTTTCCAGGATTTTACTCTTGCTTTATGGGATAATCTAATAAATGTAAACAGCCATTCCAAAAAAAAAAAAAAAAAAAACCTTGTTGCTTCCTAAAGTGACTCTGAGCAGACCTATGCACTGTTTGTTCTCTAAGCCCAGTTCACAGTTCGCCTTTAGAGCTCACTGTTGCTTGTGAATTATTTCTGCTTTAACTATTTGGCTCCCTTGGAGTCCCTGTAAAGACACTATGCAGCTGAAGAAAGTTTGGCTCTGCCATGAGAGCCCTTTCCAAAGAAGCTTTTAAACACCTCTTCATCCCCATGAAGACTAGCAAATATTCATACACCCTTTTGCAGAAGGGAGCAAATTTTTTTTGACTGGCATCTATTGCCAGCAATGGACACAGGGAATTTGGTCACATCAGTCTGAAAGCAACATGTGTAGGAATATTGGAAGCACTTGTATACATCACTGCAGTGCCTCACCAGGACACCCTGCTTCAGCTCACTGTGGCATCTCCTCCAGACATGCTGTGGAGCAGAGCTGATACACCATCATTTGGGAATTAAAAGAGTAAGTGCAGCTCACGGGATGCCAGCCCTGCTCAGAAGGTGCTCTCGAGCAGGCAGTGGCATCCGCAGCCTGTAGGGCACACCTCCTGTGTGCGAAACCACTCCATCATATGGCTGGTGTGGCCCCCGTGTCCACACGTCAGGCAGAAATTGGAGGAGCCTCGCACTGCCACGTGACAGATAGCGCACTGGAAGGTGAAGCTCTTGCAGATGGCGCATTGTGTACCACGCACCTCGCTGCGGCAGTGGCTGCAGTACACGCCGAACTCTGGCAGCAGGGAACAAGCAGAGAGTTAGTCCTGGCAGCCCTGCACACAGCCCCCCGTTCAACAGAGGAGGCCCCCAGACTTGCTGCCCAAGAGACTGGCCTCAAACCTCCCACACGGTGGGAGAATATTACAGAATCATGGAATGGTTTGGGTTGGAAAGGACCTTAAAGCTCGCCCAGTTCCAACCCCCACCATGGGCAGGGACACCTTCCACTAGAGCAGGTTGCTCCAAGCCCCATGCAAGCTGGCCTTGAACACTGCCAGGGATGGGCAGTCACGTATCTGTTAGCAATTTCAGTCTGGTATCAGTGCCATGGCTGTCAGCCATGGAGGGGCAATGGCAGTGGTCAAACTCACCAATTTTCCCTCCAGTTACTCCCCAGGAGGAGTTTCAGGTGCCAAGGTGAGACAGCCACCAATTCCCTGGCATCTCTCCTCCATCTCTCCTCCCAGGTTAGGTGCACCTTCTCCCAGAGGCCCAGGAAGAAGGCATTTTGGCAGCTGCCCTTAAGCAGCAGTTCTGGGCACCTACACTGCTGGAAAAATTTTGGAATGAAAGTTCTATTTGCCTATTGACTGGCTCACCCACAGTTAGAGATCTTTCAATATGGCACTAGAAGGACACATCAGCCCAGATTCAGAAGTTAGGACAGATCATGTCTGGGCTCTTCTTCAGAGGGAATAAAGAATGGCCATCAGCATAAACAGCTGAATATCACTAGGATAACAGCGTGTACTTTTCCAGCTTTGCTGGAGAGATATTACTGTCTACTTGAACCAACATCAAGCCCTTGAACTAATATCTGCAAGCCTCATCTCCAAGCAGAGCTGAGAAGCAGCCAAACCCATCTCTCGGCAGAGCAAACCTCTGGGCAGCATGAGGGACACTTTACATCCTACCTACTGACCCTGTGTTCCTATGCTCCCGAGGCAGAGCTGTGACTCTGCCTGGCAGCTGGAGCAGACTGAAGAAGGCACTCACCAATTCCTTTGTGGGGATCAGGAGGACAAGAGACAAACTTGAGAACCTCAGCCCTCTTCTCTCGCAGGCCCCAGCGGTAAAGGATTTCTCCATAGCACTTCTTAAAGTCATCAAATTGCTGAGTGTTGGCAGGATCCAGGAGCCTAGAGGAATAAACAGGGTTGTCATCCACCCAGTGGCTGCAATCTTTTTCCCAGTGATGTCTATACAACTAGGTAACACTGCTAGGAGAGCAGATTGCTTCCCATGTGCTGCTGACAACCTGGCTGAACGCTAATGGGTCTGGCCTCCACTTCTACACTGAAGGGTGTGGACTCAGTGGGTGCACTGCCCACTGGGGCCCCCACCATGGCCACTTGTAGATATATCATATGCCATCCAAGCAGTGTTGATCTGCAGTATGAAGCTTCTCCAAATGAAAAGGTCCAGGAGCAGGTGTGGTACTTCACAGCACCAACAGAGACCTGGCTATAGTGTTTTAGCTGACTCAGGTACAGAGTAACACACCCCTGAGTGCCCCCAAGACACTCTATAACCTACCTTTTGTTCTTCTCATGCTGGTCTTTCTCACGCTCCCGATGATCGGGATATGTTAGGTTTCCATAGCGAAAGTCATCTGGAGAAGACTCACACCAGGGAGTGGAGGCCTGCTCTGTGTCTTTGTTTGCTGCAAGCATCAAAAGGCTGTGAGCACACCTCAGAAAGCAAAGTGCTCATGAGCATAACCTCATCAAAACCAAGGTGGGGAAGGAAACATGGAAGACCACTACCTTAGAAAACTAAGTAACCATGTCTATTTGCCAAGTGCTTCTACTGCACTTGGAATCCTGGACTTGTTTGGGTTGAAAAGGACCTTAAAGACCATCTAGTTCCAACCCCCATGCCATGGGCAACGACAAATTACTCTTCTGGTGATAGGATGGGAATGGGGATCATCAGGCAAAGAAATTCAACATGGAGGAATCCCTTTTGCTTTTTTCCACTTTAGACAGCAAGTAATCAGGCATTCAATCCCATAGAGTTTGCTTGGGAATGTTATCCCTGGCAGACTTGGAAGGAGACAGGAGAGTCCTCCCTGTCTCTTTCCTAGAGAGGGAGGACTCTCATCACAAGGGCTGCAGTTACGTAAAGGGATCTCTCTATGGGAGGTATTGCCCTTGGGACAGGGAGAAGACTATTAATAATGGCTACAAGACATCAACAGCTACACTAAGCACCATTCTCTGCTCTTCCTCATGTCACAGATGCCCTGATACCACCCTGAAAACCCAGTAGCTTTGGTGCTAACAACGCTGATGCTGCCCCAGGCTGTGTGTATCACAAGGAATTAGCCAACGGCTTCAACTCTGACACTGAAGCCCTTAAGAATGATTTGTCTTTGACACCTTTGCAGCTCAGCAGAAAACCTCATTAGGCCTGTGGGTACTTCATGGCACCAAGAACATGAGATAACCACAGCCTTCCCAACTGCTGCTGTTTTTCCAGTGATAGGAAAAAGCACAGCACTCCTTTTGCTCCCCCTGAACCCTGTGGAATTAGCTGGCTGATGACACTGCGAGGCCACTGAATCACTGAATGATTGTGGTGACTGGAAGAAGTGCCTGAGGACTGAAGAAAGAAAATGTCACTGCTGCCTTCAAAGACAAGGAGAAGGACCCAGGGAACTGCATGGCACTCAGCCCTACCTCAATCCCTGGGAAGGTAATGGGGCAGCTAATCCTGGGAACCATGTCCAGTCATGTGTAGGCCAATACCAGGAGGAGTTGGCATGGATAACAGCCTCAGTCGAGGCAGTTAACCCAAGTGCTTGCTATAGCCATGCTGGAAGCAAAACAGTACAAACTGGTCTGTCTCTTTACTTGGCTCCCACTGGAAAAGGCAGCAGTGGGAGCTCTTGGCTCTCGGTTAACCTGAGATCTAAGGGCCTAGCTGGGTATGTCTAAGGTGTTTGCAACAATTCCTCCAAAGCCTAGTGGCACAGCATGCTAAAGAAGTCAGAAGGGGCAGGACTGCACGAGCATGGATGTGGTTACTGCAAGCCCTGCTCACTTCCAACCACAGAGTCCCATCACATGGGCCAAACTCTGAAAATATACTCTAGCAGAGTACATTTACAACCACAACCTTACTTCCCCGACAGGAAGGAAGGAGCAGAAGCCACCTAAAATCCAGGCCAGAAGGGACGGAGATCCTGCTATTTCCTACCCAGGTCTTCATACCTATGCTCCAGCCTCCGGTGCCAAGTCCAGGATCTGACATACTGGAACAGGAACCAGAGGAAGTAAAGCTGGGCTGTTGAGAGGAAAGGAGAGGAAATCATGTTACCTATATGAGCAATGCTCACAAATAGTCGAGACAAATGGGGAAGAACTGGCAATCATACATAGCGGCTGTGGGAGGCCAGGTTGGAGGCACGAGGAGGAAAGGGGCCAGAGTTTGGGCACCCTTGTAGCCTGGATTGGGCTTCAAATACACTGCAGAGCATGGCCAGGGTCTGTACATCGTGGAGCTGAGAGTAATGAGCCAGCCTGTGAAATGAAAAGGACACACAGTGTGGGACTGGGCAGAATTCAGTGGCAAAAGTATTCAGACTGCAGGGCAACTAATTCTGAGCCTCTTGCCTAAACCAATTTGGGACACATTACTGACCAGAGAAGGCATGTATGCTCTGAAGGACTCAGTTGTCCTTTCCGTTCTGTCATTGAGGAGCCAGTCCTCCTCCTGAGCACACTCACAGGCCAGAGAAAGATGGAGGTCTGGGAATACAGCAGTACTCATGCCCTGATTATCCCAAGTTTGTGCAGCTTCAGGAACAACATCCACAGAACTAATTTTAAAAGCTGCAGCCATTAGACTCACCCCCAGCTACAATGTCTTTCTGAGAAAACCTGTTTTGCCTTGTGGACCACAGGTTTTCTGGGTGGCTGTGAAGTTTCCGGTTTGCTCTGAAGACTGCGCTCCCCTCCCACCACTGCCACATAGCAGGAAAGAGCTGCGTCAAGCAACAGTAATGCCAAAGTACACCTCACAAATCCTATGCCTCCAATTAGGGTATACTGAGATAATATCAACTACTAATTATGTCCTCTCCTGAAGAGATTCAATGGCAGAAAGACATATGCAGCTAATACTTGGCTTTGAGACCAGTGGAATGGTTTCCCTCATGTTTATATGGCAACAGTGAATCTGAAGGTGGAAAAAGCAGCTGCATCAACACCCTCATTTAGGTGGGGAGCAGAAAACCAAAATCCCTAAGTCAGGCATTGTGTAAATGCTGGAAAGCAGAGCTCCAACTGCACCTGGCCTATTGATCAGTGTCAGCCAAAGACGACCTGGGTGCTAGACTGAGGCTAAATCCTGCCTCCTGTATGTCATAAACACACTTGCAGCTTCCCTTCTTGATGTACCTCAGGCTTTAGAAGTGAATATACACGCTGTGACACTACACTACTCCAAATCTGAAATGACACCTTACCACCAGGTACATAGTTATGGAGGGCTTTGCTTCAGCAGCCATTCCCCAACCCCTCCGCGGCATTCAAACACCTACAGGGACTCCAGTAATTGACGTCCAAATGGATGTTGTGCCCAAGGTATCTCCAAATCTGGGTCAGACTTTGGTCCAAGACAGAGATCAGTGGCTACCATGGCCAGTGACCAAACCTGGCAGACAGGAAGGAAAAGCATCAAAGCTACAATTAGGAACAACCATACTCTCAGGGCATAGGTGTGTACAAATTCCCTCACAGACAGATAATAATGGAGCTTTTTTTTTTCCTAGCAGCCAGGAGCAGTTTCAGCTTCTATGTCACAAATAATATACATAATAACACAAACCCGAAGCTTTCCCTGTTCCACTTGCTTTAGGTTTGAGTTAAACCTTGAAGAACAGTCTAACACTCAGGGTAGCTTAACAGACCTATTAGTGCATTTTATAGTAACAAACCTCAAAAGGCTTTAGTTTTAGTTTTTGATACTGTTCTCGGATTCAGAGATGTCTGGTGGCTGAAAGTTTACTTTTCATGCAGTCATTCACCAGTATCTTTTGATTAGTTGTGTTACTGATCATCTCTGCTCTCCCAGTGCAGCCCAGTGTGGTCAGGAGTACAAATTTGCCATTTCTACTCCAATAGTTTAGCTATTTCACATGATATTTCTCATTCATTTACATACTCCACTCTGAAATGATCTTTTCAGCCTCTATACTGCTGCTCTAGGACTGGTTTTGTCTGTTATGCCTTTTAAATTGGGGCAATTAGAATATTCCAAGGAAAAGCATAGCTCCTAGTTTGGCATGAAAAAGAGAACAGGAAAAGAAAATTGTGCTGGAAAGACTGCAGAAATCAGAGCTGGTAACATGGAAAAGTAAAGAAAACCCACATGCTCCAAACAGGAAGAACAGCGAGGAGCATCAGTCCCCCAGCTGCTCACTGGGAAACCAGAAACAGGACAGAAACCAAAGATGGGGTTGAGTACAAGAGAGCAAAGAAAGGAAATTGGTAAGATGCCACCTCCTATACTGCTATAGAGCACATCTTACACGTAACCTGCAACTTAAACACCCCTACCTGCTAGGAATGGGGCAAGCTGCAACACAGAGTGGAGTTACATAGGACAGGGAAAAACAAGCAAGAAACAGAGGTATCTCAGAGGAAGCTTGCAAAAGTTATTCCACCCAAGCTCTGGTCCTATGTGGGCAATGCAAGATGAAGCACTGACAAAGAGGACGTAGACCTGCGTCCTCTCTCCTGCTCCAGGAGAACCCACCAAGAAGCGAGACAACAGTTTGAGTTTGCTTCTGCTTAGATGAGGTAAGCCTGTGCATGTTCCCTGTTCAGGTCTACGAAAAGCCAAATGCTTAGGAGTAGAGCACAGCTCCTCTGGCAGTGCCAGCTCCTGTATCTTTCAGATGCTCCTGTCTCCTGTCAAATGTTCTGCCTGTTGTATTGGACTAATCACACAGAAAAAGATGTGCTACAATAATAATTTTTCTCCTATTATTAGCTGCAGGCAAGTAGCCAGCCCCATTTTGGGGCTGGGCTCCTGGGTTCAGACTTCTGTGGAGAAGCAGCCTGCAGCTGGCACCCAGTGCCAATGCAGATGAATACCAAACAATGGGAACCATTATGCATAAGAGAGAAGTAAAAAAATCACCCATCAAAATGCTGACAGCAGCTCGGCAACTCTGTGCACAGTTACTCCATTCGCTGACTCAAAAGCAGGCTGCATTCCTCACTTTGCCTGCAGGAATTCCCTGAAAAATGTGCTTCACTCAGTTTGACAAAGGGCATAAAACAATCTGCTTGCAGCCCTGGGAAGGAATCTCTAAATGTCAGGAATCAATTAGATAGAGACCACCTCTATGGCTCTTCCACAGGCCTTGGTTCACAAAATGGAAATTCCCTGGAACAACTGCTCAACCCAGGTGGCTGTTTGGGTATCAAGGTGAGAGCACAAGTCATTTGAAGGTAGCACAGCGTGCTGAGGAAGAGCTCCGACTCAATGCCATACCTGTACGAGGTCCCTCCGTCCCACAGCCAAGGCTGAGGCAGCATTCTTCTGGCAAGTCTCCTGGATATTATTCACATTTAGTCTAAAAAGAGAGAGCTCAGTTATCTGTGAAGGTAAAAGTAAAAAGAAAAACTCATGCTAAAACCCACATTACCTATAAAGGTGGGGAGGGATGGGGGAAAAGTAGTACTAACAGCAGCAAGTAGCTCAAAATTTCCTGATCAACACAAACGTGCTAGCATAGCCAGGATCCCATCGCTTCCTTCTCTTATTCAGGGATCACTGCCATCCTTCTCCCACTGTTCATCTTCACTAACGCACTGCACATCAAGTCCAGCTTCCAAACTAGCTGGGATTGATCCTAAGAAGCACCATCTCCAAGGAGATACCAGATCAAACTTGTACCAGAATACCCCTAAGCCAAGATTCATTCTTGTCCCAAGAAGCTGGTGCCATCAGTTATGTGGTCCTGTGCCCATTCAGCCAATTGGTCTGCTCTGACTGACCTGGACTGAGTCAGTGGCATGCTGAGGAGAAGCAGACTGGTCTTCAGCCTGCTCTGCAGTAGGGTAACACATTCACTGTGGAGTCTCTGAGAGGTTGGCAAGGTGGCCTGAGTAAACCCATGTGAGCTTTCCTGATTATCATCAGAATTCTTCCCCAGACATGTGGCACTTTTACTGCTTAAGATCTTACAGCAAATGTAAAAAGGTCAGGATGTTCACACATGAGATATCCAGAGTGGAAAGGTCCAACAGTTTTTTTTTAAAGAACACTTTCTTCTAATAATACAGAAAAAAACCTGACACGGGATATTTTTGTTTTCTCTCTCTTCCCATACCCTTCTGTATCCTCTAAGAAGGGACACCTGCTTCTTCCCTGAATGTCCACAAATTGGAAATTCTGTGAAGGACAAGGCAGTATTACCAAAGCTAAGGAAAAAAAAAAATCAGGAACAGAGATTTTGTAACTATCTGAAATAGAGAGTTTGGAAAAAGCAGCCCCTTGTCCTTAAAAAAACCCTGACCAAACAACCAAAACTCACAGAACTTCTCCATCTTTTCCATTAAAGCAAAAAAATCTGCTGTACAGACACTGGCATGTACAACCAAGTCTCCAAGTGAATGGGGCATTCCAAATACTTCTGAAATGAAAAAGTCTTATGAGATATTAACAGATTTACAGTATGAAAATGTGCATTTATTGGGATTTTTAAGCCTTTGCATTTAAGTGTGGAGTTTAACACAAGATTTGAAAAGGAATTTGTACTGATAACTTCTCTCAAGCTGCAAACCTGTAAGATTTGCAATGATGTTCAAACTCTGTATACAACACCCCAGCACAAATTTATTTGTCACGCTTTTCACATTTATAGGAGACAAGTCCCCCTCCACAGGCAGAGGGATACCTTGATAAAGCAGCAACACAAGAACAGAGGAAGAAGGTACAGAAGCACTCAAAGATCAGGGCTGACTGATATCAGGAGTAAAGCACAGCAAAAAACAGCTGCTTTGATTTGGGAAAGGGTGCCAACTCATATATACTCACATATAGAGCTCTCCTAGCAGCTTGTGGACAGGCAGCAAGCAGGAAATATCTTGGATAATAACTTTCCCAGCAGCTTTAATGGGTCGGTTGTTGGCATCTGTCCCCTCTCGTTTGCTTTTCCACCTCCTTGATTTCTGCGTAACAAATTGCAACGTGTTACAGGGGAGGAGGACAGCAGGCTTCTTTGGCCAGGGAAAAAAGCACTAGGGTCAGGAATAATGCAAGCAGCACCCAAACCTGCCTTTCAGAAGGCTCTTTGTTACCCTGGAAAACATCCATGACATGCCCAGGAGAACAAGCATCTCCATCTGTAGAAGTGAAAAACGGGTCAAGGCAGCAAGCTCAAGGTCAAACTCACTCAAAAAGTATTTTTTGAAAGCCAATAAGAGAACAAATGGGCCTCAGGATGCCAATCAAACCTGGGCAGGTTTGGGAGGAGGATGGCTCAATTATCATTCTCATTAGAGGTCTGGTCTGGAAACCTTCTCTGCACAGACCACTGCTGACTTCAGCCAACATCAGCACAGAGATGTGTGGAGGCAGCTTTTGCTTGCCCTTAGCTTCAGGGCAAACTGACAGCTCCAGAGTCTGTTTTGGTCTGTCCTTTCAGTGTTCGAGTAAACCTCTGTTTAGCTTCACACAGCAGGGGTCCCACCTCCTGCTTTATCAACAGCTTCAGAAAAGCAACCGGCAAATGATAAAGCAGGACCCAAGTTTTCCTAGCTACCATGCTCACAGCTACTTACAGCTGGCTTAGGACATAAGGCGGTGGGGAGAAGGGAGAAGAGGAATCAACACAAGGGAACAAAACCAAGAAGCCAAGATTCCCAGATACTCTCCGTAACAGACATGGAGACCACATAAATGCCAAGCTGCATAAAGCTACCTTGGCTGTATGAAACACTATAGAGTATTTGCCTAGTATCCTGAGCTCTTCCAGCTCCTCACTCTAGGAGGGTGAGGAGGAGCAGGGATGAGAGGATGAGCAGCAGCACAACAGGCAGAAGACACTGGAGCTCTGCTGGCTCCTATACAGCATTTCCCAGAGCAACAAAGAATGCTTTGCAGTGCTGCTCCCCTATGGCTTGTTCCCTCACTGACACACAGAGTTGATGCTCCTACGTGGAAGTATCCTGGTCATGTCAAGTTATGCAGGGTATTCTAAGGCACTTGTGGGGCTTCCTACATCCCTATCTGAAGCAGACAGCTCCTTTGATGGGGCCAGCAAACCAGCCCTATGGTGATAGTTCTGCAAGACAACACATCCATGCTCCTGAAGAGCAGGCTAGGCTACAGGAAGGGCAGGACTTGGACCTACAATTGGGTCACCTCTGCTGTGGATGTTAGGTCTGGGATGGCTGGGTACCAAACTACCATCATACACAGTCCTGCGGAACCTGAGCAGGCTCATCACAGTCACAAAATGCCCTTAAAAAAAACTCATTAGAGAAAAATATCTCCTTAGATCTTAAGAAATTAATTCCTCCTTCACTGCCTGCCTGGCCCAAGCTGAAGCCAATGTGCTGAGGAGGTCTTGCTCTGCTGAGCGCACGTGCTACTAGCACATCACAAGAAGCAAAACAGACATGCTCCTGAAGCCACTCTGGACAGTGGGTGACTGAGGCTCAGAGGCTCAAGCACAGGCTTGCCAGTAAGCGAAGGAGGCATTTCAGACCTCAAAGAGGTGGAGGTGGATTTTGCCTGGGTTGCCCATGTGAGAGCATCACCACTTCCCCTGATTTTCCACTGCTCCTCAGAGGAAAGAGAAGCAGAGTGTGCATGCTGCCCAATATTCAGAGGTGCCAAACGGTGGTGGAAACAGGGCTGTCAGCATTCAGTGCTAGGAGGCTGACTAGGGTATGATTCTGATCTCTGCCATGTCCCCTCAAGTCCTAATCCATTCAAGCAGAGTTTGCCTGCAGTATTTATCTGCTACATCATTCTGAGAAGTGCTATGCAGTAGGAAGTGGATAAAATGTGGTCAGGTGGGAGACCAATCTCTCTGGAATCCATCAGTTCCTAGTGAAGGCATTTTGATTTACCTCTGACTCTCTTCTCATCCGGCAGACTATACCTCTTTTGATACTACCTAAAAATGTAGCTACCCTCCCCATGCTGAAGAATGTGGGCTGTATTACAAAAAGGTTCCCAAATAAAAGTGGCACCTGTACCTCATTCCTTGTCAGGACAGCCAAATGCTGTCTGCTAGCTTCAGTGAGGAGCTACTGATGCTGCCAAAACCAATACTTGTGCAAAGCTTGGGAACACCAGCAGGGACATGCAGTGCTCAGCCACTGTCCTGGAAGGGCTACCAGGCTCCTCACAACCAAAGCTGTTGTTTGTGCTGTGTTTGAGCAGGTAGTTGGACCCAGGCTTGCAGATTCACAACCACATTCTGCAGGTCTATCACCAGGGGTCTTCCAAGGCTTGGCAGGAATTTGGAGAGGAACTTGCCACCTCCTGACCATCCATAAGCCAGCTGCTCCCAGGACTCGCAGACTATGGAGAATTCCCTCTGACTGAGGCAGGTTCTCTGACCCATCCTCAGAAACAGATTCAACCTGCTCCTGCCCTCTGCAAGAGCAGACTGAAGAAGCCTCCTAACAGGCATTTCAAAGGCTAGAAACATGGACAACACATATCACTTTCCACAGGTAATTCAGTCACTTTTTTGCTGTTGTTGTTTTGAGGAGAATGACAACAAATGAAGATGACAATGGAAAAGAGACCTCATGAATGGTTTCCACTTCTTGCTGTTAGCATATCACCAGACAAATGAAGACACTACATGTACCAGAATCCCCTGAGAACTCGGACTCACAACAAAATTATCCTGTTTTCTTCCTCCAAGCACTGAATATTTACTGGCAGAAAGGGATGCCCTAATACTTTATTGGTGGAACTCCTGGACTAGAGATAGTTGATGGCCAATATGTCCTGCCAGCATTACACTGCCACAACCACTACTTCCTGCCCCTGTGACAAAAACAAATCCTAAAGCCAAATGTAAAGTCACATTAAAATGTCTGTTCTTCTGCAATTCAGGTTTGCCTCAGCCACAGTAACAAACTGCTAGAAAAAAACTATGAACAGAAGTATGGGAACCATCACCACTGACAGCAGAAGCTCTACTTTGAGCCAAATAATTGCTGGTGTTCATTACAGGAGTGGCTCTCCACCAGGCAGTATCTGAGCACCATTAACAGGGGTTACCAGAGGCAAGAAGGGCTCTAGCTTGGGTTTGTCTAGACAAGGTCCACCACAAGGCTCGTCACTCCCTTCTGCTTCACCTCTTCTCCCTGGGGAAGCTCTCACTATGGTGTTATTTAAAGGTGTCACCAAGACGCAAGGGCATTAGGGTAGGATGGAAAACAGGTCTCTTCCTAGGGCCTGAAGCACAGGTCACAAGGGGTAGCAGGGAACATAACAGTTGGAGCTGAAGCAGAAATTAACATGCATGCACCAAGATAACTATGACAGTTGAAGGTCAAAGAAACAGGCTTTCTGCACTGCCCCCAACATTTCTAGCCTGCAGCCTAGAATCCATGTCAAGCAGAACTGCATCTACCCAGCTGCTCCTGAGAGTTCAAGGAGAGGAAGAACAGAAAGAAAATAGCTACAGTGACAGTAAATTAAGACTCATCAGTTCCTCAGAGCATCAGAAGGAAAGAAACCAGAGTATTTATGACAATCATGGGGTTGAAGGTGACAGTGGGAACAGCACCAAGTAATGACTAAAAAAGCCAGCCTGTATCTGCACTACCATACCTAAGGCTGTAATTTCCTGCAACCTGAGGTGATAACAATGGCAGTAAATGGGTTACATGTAGAAACAGACAGCCCAAGAATAAGCCACCAACTGCTTCGTAGCAACCACCATCATCACTATGTACACAGCAGAAGTAGTTCCGAAATGCTGCGTGCCTGCTTGGAAAGGATGCCCAACAGTTGGGTGTGTGTGTCTTTGGATCCTGCTGAGGCAGTGCTGTAAGCAGCATCATGAAATGTAAAGTGCCTATTTGCAGAAGCAGATGCAAAATTTCAGGGTTTGTGGTATAAAGTGGCGTTAGTAGAGCACAGGGAAAGCTTGTGGACAGAAGTGAACAGACTTGATGCCAAAGACTAAGCTGCAATATGGCATTTAGAAAATGAAGAGGTAAACCTGCTCAAAGTCAGGTTCAAACTGCTTCTAATATTATTTTTTCTTTTAAAGTAAGATTTAAAAATTGCTGCCTCCCTGCAAAAAGCTATATGCTCTTTTATTCTGAACTACTGCCTACAGATTAACTCCCCCATGCAGGTCATGCAGTTCTGCCTGGATTTTTCTTTTCAAAATAATCAACATTTACTATTTCCAGCACCTCCCACAGTACCAGGCAACTTCCACAAAGGGGACCAAAAAACCCAACCAACCTACCAGAGGCACTTCTGTGGCCCCCAGCAGGAATATTTCTTTAGAGCTTTCACTAATTAATAGCTGGCACCTGCCCTGAAGCACTGGCATTTCTGAAGTGGAGTCATTACCTAGAAAGAAGGGGGAATTATTCCTTCTTCTAGACTTGTCTTTTGCTTCCCGGAGCACCCTGAGCAATGCTGAGCTCTTACCCCAGAAGAGGGGGGCAGCTAGTTTGCACAAATACTCCACACCTCTCTCCATACATGCTTGCCCCTTCAGCTTGGGCACTGTGATCCACTTTAGAGAATGTGATTAGCCTCTTCCAAAGGTTATCCACAAATAACAGTTAAACCTTCAAGGTTTGTATTAATCCATATATAATTTTTAAGTATGTGCTATACAAAATGATAGCTTTATCACATCACTACTTGCTCTTCCTTCCAAGCCAGTGGTAAGGGAATTAAACTGTAGCACTTTCTGCACTACAATTTACCACACCACAAGCTGGCAAGTGCCTTGCTTGGTTTTCTTTCTTTAGCCTGTTCTTGATTCAAGACAGAACTTCATTTCCTGTCTTCACTGCTCACATTTCTTTATTAGCTCTTTGCAAAAGCCTTGATGGTGTCATGTAAATTACTTCTTTCACCTATTATTTGCTACTAGCAGGTTAAATTAGGTGTTACAGGAATTCTGTTTTATTCCCTGTTGTCTTATGAAGGGATAGCATGAGGGACAGCAGCTGTGAAAAAAAGAGTTTCACACAAACATTGTGAAAAGCGGTCCTAAAGAGATAGTCTTTAATCTGAAATGAAGTTTTCTAAGCTTTGCCTATGCTTGGCAGATGAGTGATGAGATAGTAATTACCCAAATTTACAGCAAAGCTTGAGCAACACTGATATCATCAAGATGTTCACATGAATGATGTTCAAGCTTGAGAGACACATGGACCTGACTAATGGAAAACAACTGCCAAAGCAGCCTCGGAGGGGCAGGTGCCAGGAAGAAGTCGCTGGAAGTGCAACCTCTCACACCGAATGCAGGGTGGTGCCATTCCTGGGTCTGGGAGATCACAAATTAAGGAGAAATTCTATTTACTGCTGTGGGAAATAAGGCTTTATGATGCACTGCACTGAGAACAGGTAGCTCATTTTATGGCAGATCATTGTCAGCAACTCAACCAGGTTGTTTCTTCCACAGCTCTTAAGTGATCCTCCCTCTCCAGCAAGGCTTCATCTTTTTCAGAAATGAGGTGCTCTAATGTCAGTCTCACCAGTTGTTAACAATCATTAAGCTCCTCTGCAGCTCTGTTACTTAGAGTTTGATTTTTTCTTACATTTCAAACTACCCCTTGGCATCCTTTCCTGACTGCTAGGCCAGGTAAAGTAGGTGAGTTGTAGGTCAGTGTTCGTACCCTGCAAACTACTGTCTGCTCCTGTCCACTTACACATTCTTACTGAAGCCCTCGGCCCTGCGTGGAGTGCAAGTCCTCCACCTTTGTGCAGGTTACTCAAAGGCAGACAGGTGGCGTTTTATTCTTGGGCCCTTGGGCAGAAGACAGGGTTATATCAAGGACAGTATTAGCACAGCGCACAGTACCGGGAAGTCGTTAATTGCTTGTATGGACCAACGTCGCCAGGCAGAGCGAGGAGACATCTGTATGTGAAAACATTACACCCAGGAAAAGGGAAGAAAGACACCAAGAAAAATAAAGACAAAAGGTAAATAGACTGAAAAGTGCCTTGAACCAGCAGAGTAAAAGATATTGTTCCCAATGGTTCTGTTACACAACGAACAGTTGCAAACCATGATCCCCACTTTCACGCACACAGTTGTACTGTATGTTACCTACAGCCCTGTGTCTGTGCCCCACACCAGCCTCTGCAGAAGACTTTGCCAACCACAGATCTCAACAGTCTGTCACACAGAGCTGTATTAATGCAAGAAGCACAGAACTGCTTCATGTGCTTCATGACCTTGTTCATACCATCAATTGACAGCTGAGCAGAGGACAATACCCTGGTGCCTCAAACGCTAGGCTCCTACTCTAATGAATTTTACTCCTCTTGGATGAGGAAGAAAATAGCTAAGTGCAAACTGCATTATTTTTAACACAGCTGTCCAGCACAACAGCACAGAAATCTCTAGGAAGCTAAATAAACACTCCTTCTTACTCAGGTATCTCTAACATCCAGTGTCCTCCAGAAGTTCATTCACTGGAACCTGCTATAACTGTTCACTTTCATTTTAAACAATACAGGTCGCACGTCAGGATATCACAAGGGATGTAGAGACCCTGCTACTTGGCAGGGCCACGTATAAATTGTCGTCATGGGTTGAGGAGCTCTTTCAGATTGAGTAAGTGATCAAATTCACTGACTGACTATGCAGAATAGCTCCAAAGTAGGCTTTCACTACAAAAGTGCATACATTTCATTAAGCATGCAACTCAGTATTAAAGCAACGATAAATGGAATCTCTCAAAGCATATTACTGCACACTCATTGGGAAAAAAAAACCCTTCTGTTTCAGTTCTGTAAGAGTCAACACAACAAAAAGTGTTATTTGTGTTGTATGCAGTGTATTTTACATTTATTTCCAGCTGATGGTGGGCAGTCAAGGCCATCAGCTATGCCTGGCCTATACCTTCCCTTGCATCTTGCTGGTGGGAGAACCCCGCAGCCAGGGAGCCATGAGAGAGGAGAAGACTGCCGCCTTGTGCTACAGGTTTCTCCACCAGGCCTCACCAGGAGAATGAGAGAAGGAGAAATGGGATAGCTGAAAGAAATACAGTATAGTAGAGAAGCAGCAAAACTAAGCTCAGCCCTCCTGTGAAGTCCTGCTCTTCTGCAGTGAGAGCCACTGCTGCCAACCTCCACTTCCATGTCTGTGAGGTTTGAAACCAGGCAGACATCAGGCAAAGCCTGAGGGATATCCTGAGAAGCAACAGTTTCCAAGCCCTGCCCAATTCCCCAATGTGAAGCATCAGGACATCACTGTCACCACCTGTGTGGAGCTGTCTCTCTGGAAAATCTGAGCTGTCCCCAGGTCCCCACTGGCACAACCCTCTCACTGAAGTAGGGGGGGAACCACAGCCACAGCACCTTCTTTAAGAGACATCTAGGTTGGAAACACTGATGGCATTGCCTGAGTATAGATACAGCTGCTTCTTCCTACTGACTACTTTTCTTTAGTGGGATTTTTTTTTTTTAATGAGTGAAAAGGAGGAAGAAAGGAGGAGTGTGCATGTGTGAATAAAAGAGGAGAAATGTGTATACACACATATTTAGATGAGCACAGAAAGGCTCAGTGCCAGATTTAGTTTCATTTGGTTTACTTAAGGAGATCTCTGCTGGGTTCAGCAGCTCTCCTCCCTTCACAGGAACATGAGATATTACCTGTCTATAAATGGGCAAATTCCACTTGTTTGCTAATGGTAGTGATGCTAGTGGGATTGCTATATGTGATTTAAATACCTGCTTACTACTGTCAAACTCAGTTTTGGGGCTGAAGTTATACAACATGAGAGTTTAACATCAACATTTCAACTTCCATTTTAACGCAAATATAAAATCCAAGCTTGAAAGCAAGGAGTTAACTAGACTTAGAGTCTGGGCTTTTTAAAAACCTCACAATGAAATGACATAAAAATATGTAGCATTGATCTAACAGAGGCCATGACATTATTTCCCTTCAGCAAAGATTTTCTGATTCTTTAGGAGTTAAAGTTGAGGTTTGGTTTGTTTTTTAAACTTTCATCTGCAAGAACATTTGAGCTAGCTTCCTGCTATGGTCTTTACACTTCTTCCAATCCAGTATGCAAGGAGAGAGCTTGGCTACACAATGCTCTCTCCATTTTCTTCCCTCCCTATGATACAAATCTTGTCGCCATCAATACAAGAGCTGGGGAGACAGGTCACATGAAATTGCACCAAGCAGCTTCCACATGTTATTTTTAGCCTTGTCTGTCATCTTAGAGAGCTGTGTGTCACAGACAAGCATGCTGCAGAGGACAGAGGTAGCTCTTTAAATAAACTCTCCTGCAAAGACCAGAACAGGCTGTAATTATACCTGGCAGAACCATTTTCTCTTCCCATCAAAAAGGATTTTGTGTGGGGAAAAAAAACAAGAATGGGGCCCCAAGAGTCTTCTGTGGTATGCGTGTATGCAAAGCTTGCCATGGGGACAGAGGGTTTCCCCATGGCTAGAAAGTGCAGTGACTATCTTATATCATGAAAGCAGGACACAGTCCCAGAGAGGTCAGCTGTCATGTCCAGCACTACTGGAAAATCAATGCCTCTTTTGGCGCCAAGGAAGGATGAGAGCTTAAGGCTCTGACTTTCCCTCTGCTCCCAGGAGTTCCCAAGTTCCACTGCAGCAGAGTGCAGACAGCTCTCAGCTTTCCCTGGGGTAACTGGAAGCTCTCTACTGCTGCAGGGGATTAGTGTCCTCAGCATGGACAGTAAGGGGCAAACTACTTGAATGCCCCAAATTCTCAGGCTCTCAGTGGAAGCTTACTGTACTTCTGCAAGCCACTTCACCCCCTGCTGAAGTAGAGAGCTAGTTTCTGAGCAAGCTGCACAGCCTATTACTCCCACAGCATCTGCTTCAGGCACATCAGGCCTTCAGCTGCTTGAGAACTACATCCACTCTTCAATTACCAACAGGTCTTCCTCACCCTCTATGTCCCTGAAGGAAACAATCCCACTCACCCCCAAAGCCTTGCTTGTAATGACAGCAACGACAGCAAGACCTACACCTAAACCAGAAGTATACGGACTAGAAGATCTTTGGAGAATCATGTAGAAATGGCTTTTATTTTAAAAAAGTCCAAAGGGGCACATATCCCTGAAAGAGACACCTGTAATAGAAATAACCAAATATATCCCACAATCCAGGGGAAGTTGTCAGTTAGCTGCAGAGAGCCACAACCCTTTGCAGTTATATACATCGGGAAGTACAGATAACAGCAGAGTTGCCTATATGTATTTATCTGGAGGCTACAACTTGAGTGTGAGATTTTAACCCTACTTAATGCAAAGGTGACAGTGTAACGCACTGAAGCAGCTGTGATGGTCAGTGTAGAGAAATATCAAAATAAGCAGGTCAAATACTAGAGAGGATCAGTAGAGAGTTACTAATAGGAGATAAATCTATTTGACATTTTTACAGAGCTGCCTGTAAAAAGATGCCTTCTTTGAGGAATATGAAGCTTCTGTTACTAGAAATGCTCACAGCTATATGAAAGGAATACAGATCACAAAAGATGAAGTGTTAGGAAAGGCTTTTTGGTCTGGTATTTACCCTCTCTTTGTAGTAGAAGGAGCTAATGGAGACTTGCTCCTTCTCACTGCGTGTCGGACTCCCACTGTACAAACGCAGATTGCCTGGAGTCTCTGTGCGGATCTTCATTGGAGTAATGAGGCCACTATGGTATGCTGATAAAGCTGACAGAGACCTGGAAACACGAGAATATACTTTCAAGAGCTTTTACACACCAAATTGTCCTGGAGGCTCACACCAACATCTCCACTAACAAGTCGCTAACAAGGAGTGTCTGCTGAGGGCCATGCTGTAAAGAACTAGGCTCTCTGTGTCGAGAACACTGCTAACACTAGAGGTCAGCAGCTCCAGCACAAGAATTGATCTATTTTCCCACCCATGACAGCAGCACACCTCAAATGGGACACCGGTACTAACCTGGGTGTGGGCTCCATAGGGGACACTGCACGGTGCATGGTCATGGGTCTCGTGAAATACACCAGGTACCCTAAAGAGACAGGATATGGCATAAAGATCACAAAGCAAGGAGAAGATTATCCAGGGCTGGGTTACACAAGGAAATGTGATCATTTAAGGTATCCGAATCAAGGGACTGGGTGCCTACCCATTACCACGAGTGCTTTTAAATCGCAAGTAGACAACCACATTTTCTGAAACCAAATGCACTCCCTGCAGACTCATTAAAATGCATGTCCTGTTGAGATGACTGTCTTAAAAGCACCATCTCAAGTGGCTTACAGAATGTTAAAGGCAGTAAGAGAAAATGAGCAGGTACATACTCCTGTTTTTACTCTTCACCAGAACATATCACGCATTGATACTCTAGAGGAAAGTGAGGTGATATCTGGCTATACAGAGAAACCATTGCAGCTTGTACATCTCTCAACAGATAACCATAGTCACCTGAAGCCACTCCAGAGCACTCTCTCACAAGCCTTACCCCATTTGTTAGCATCTCAAGTGTCTTCATACACCCACTCTTGCAACAGTTTCAGGACTTAGCAGGTTTCACTGAGCCTATTCAATGCAATACCACCCTGTTTTTCTGGGAATTCAATAAGGACTCTGTGAAAAGCAGCTTTCAAAACATGCTCAAACTGGGATGTGGTCAGATGTGGAGGAGGCATGCTTGCATCTGAAACAGCTCAGTGAAACTTAACAGCTCTTACTCAGACCTTAATCTGTTTTTAGGATGATCTCTGCATTGTACACTTTCCTGGAAACTTGGATGTGATTGTACACCATCTCCCACTTAAGAGAATTTTCCCAAGGACCTCAGAAAACAGAAAGGGTACAGAGTGAGAAAAGAATGGTTAGTAACAAGAATATAGTTTCAGCAAGGGGTAAGTTCAACCCCAAATCACCAGAATTTGTGAAGACTGAGCACCAGAATATGTACAGCAATTTGATGTTGGTAGGAGAGAGCTAGGCAAGGAAAAGAGCTATTCCCAGTCTTCTCTAGAAGAGTGGTCTCCCAGTGCCTCTGGCATGCCACAAACCCTGGATTTCCAAATCCTAAAATCCCACACATGCAACACCAACTGCAAAGAGTTGCTAACTAGCCTCATTATCTGCAAATTTATCACAACCTCACCACTTTAATACCATTTCTTACTCATTAGATAGCAGTGACCAAAACCTTACTTTATTCAGAGGCAAGCCTTCCCCAAACATTCAAAGGCCCATTCATCAGGTAAATGTTGTAACATACTAGTGATGGGGCTAACCTGCACCACAGAACCTTGCTCCAGAGGTCCGTGGAAATGGGATGTTAGAGTCCTGGTATGAGCCATAGGCGTTGGAGACCCGGGCGAATGTGGGCAAGGGGGGTGTGACAGAGTTGGACAAAGCGTAGGGATTGCTGGACGTGCTGTCCTCTTGGTTCTGGAACAGAAGTACTCAAGGTCACACTTCTGCTGCCACAGGAAGGAAACACAGCTAGAGCACTGGACGTCATAGCGTGGAGCAGCCTCATAGAAGGTGCTTCTTGTTTGAGCCAGAGCAGATCAAGGACAGAGCATAGTTATTGCTCTGCTGCAAAGGCACTTGCAAGCATATTTACCTTTGAGGAAAGGGCTTCTCTGGCTGCTTGTCCAGAGACTTCTCTCCCACCATAGCCATGTTGAAATGCAGAGCTTAACTTGGGGTGAAACAGAGGGAAACTACATAGAAAATCTTATCCTCTCACTGGATATGACTCCCAAGACTGGGTATGACTTTAAAGGGAACTCAGCTAAACCTGACTCCTCAATGATGCAAGAGAGACAAAGTCTCCTTAAATAAGAATACCACACAACTGTGGCGAGTTCAAATGCAGGCTGGGAGTCAAAGTGAGGAAGGCAGGTAGTGTGCAACACTTAGGGACCTCAGGCCTATCTATGAATTTTGGCAGAAATCTGCATTTATATGGATAAAGAGTACTACAGCTTAGGTGTAATGGAATTCTCTAAAGGCAGTGACGCCTGGCTTGAGACATCAGATTTCCACACAACAAAGTTTCCACTCTTAGAACATCACTGCTGAAACCAAACAGATTAAGCCTTTTCTTGTTAAAAATAAAAAAAATAACAATAAAAAAGCCCTTTATTTGTGATGAATAAACAAAACCTCTTGGAAAAAAAATCTGAGGAGCCTCTCCAACTTTTTCCTGAATGCTGAAAACACCCACCCTGGTACACTTCACCCACACACAGACCTAATACCTGACACTGGGATGCTGAGTAGGTATCACAGATCTCTCAGCTATGGGCAGGGTGTGACTTGGATTTATCTGCAATATCATCCTTACAAAACCTCAGCACAAGGCTTTAGAAAAGACTTTCACAGATTTTTTTTTTTTTTAAGAGATTAAACAAACACCCCAGAATAGGAGTAGCAGGATATGTGACTACAACTGAGGAGGTAAAGGCATCTGCCACTGCCTTCCAGACAAGAATGGATCCATCAGCTTCCCAAGGCCTCTTCTCTCATGGATGATAACCATGCTCTGGCACTAGTTTGATATATTGCGAGCTGGTAAACTACCATGCACCACTCAGGTGCTAAAACCCTCAGTCACTGCTGCTAACCTGAGTATCAGTGAGCATGCAGAGCTCCCCAAAGCAGGAAATCTTCAGGGCCTGATCTTCAAAAAACAAAACACATCTAATGATCCACTTAGTTTTCCTCAACACAACCAGAAGCGCTTACTCAAATGTAATGGCTGGTCACAGGGGTCTATTTACACGTCTAATGAGGCTGGACTCTCACTGCAGAGTCAGAAGCATGGGATGTGGGAGAAGACAACAAACCAGGGCAGAAAGCCCATGCAGCTCTCCATACCACAACAGACTCCAGCCAGGAGACCAGCTGACGCAGGCAGGGCTCCAGGCAGCTCTGGTTCCGCTTCACTTTCTGCAGAGAAGTGTCTTTCAGTATCTGGAATAAACACAAGATGCAGCTCGAATCATGGCTGTATTAACACTTTTCAAACATCCTTTTTTGTCTGCAGAGTAGCTAAGATGCCAGGATACAGAGAGGCTACAGATATCCCCTAACACCACTGGTGTGCTGTCCATTTGAGAAATCACTGTGAGCTTTGATCAGAGCACTGACGCTTCATCTAGATTCAGCACACTCTGAGACAGGATCTGGGCTTCTATACTGTTGTAGCTCACACGTTCCGTACCAGTTTGTGGAAAACCGGATGAAGGTTGCTTTCTGTTTCAGGCAGGAATACAAACTGATCTATCAACTTGCTGCTGGGGAAGGAATTCCCCAGCAATAGCAATACAACTTCCTACACTAGATGATCAAACACCTGGTCTGGAATTAGCTGATGCTGTGTGAAAATTCCCTTAATTTTTAAAACAGTTTGTGGAAGACAGAAGGAAGCAACATCCCAGCTCAAAAATATGATCTTTCTGCAGCTGGATGCTTAGCTGGTCATTTTTTTTATTAAGGGGTTGGGGTTAATTGTGTGAAGAGAAGGATGGTAGGGATTCTCAGGCAACAGCAATACACATCACACCAAAACAGAGTAGCAGTGAGGAACACACATTTAAAATGCACCAGTGGCAAAAAGCAAATACTGGGCTGCAAGGCCAACAAAACCCTACCCCTAAGAGCTCCACAATGTACCAGTTCAAAGCTGCATATGTTCAGCAAGGTGAGATGTTTTATTCTGTCAGTAATCTAGACATCAAGTATCCACCGTTTATAAAGGTATAAAGACACTATACTCCTCACTCACCTTCAGCAGCTTTGCCTTCATGGAGGCAGTGATTGAAGTTGGGTTGATGAACTGGAAGGAGGGTGCAGCATTATTGGGATACTGGACAGGGAACATCACCAGCATCCTGACTCTGTGGTTGCCACAATGCACTGACACCGTACAGCTACGACTCACCGCATCCATCTGTGAGGAAAAGCAATTGCTCTGTAGTTAGGTCTCCAAGGCCTTTAAACTTAGAGTTGCTTAAATTCATGCTGAGGGGCTGATTCCTCTGCACACCCATAAGAGAAGTCAGGCTGTTCTCAATGGCAGTGAACATGGTGACAGCAAAAAAAACCCAGGCAGATGGGCAAAGGCTCAGCTCGCACGAGCGGACTGCCAATCCAATGTGCCAGCATCTGGAGACCACAGCCATGAAATCAGGCTCTGCTCTGCAGTCATTGCACTGCAGCAAACTTCATTTGGCCATGAAGAGCTCCAGTCCCAGTGCAGCAGTAATTGGTACCATCTAAGATTATATATCAGGGTCTTGGAAAACTCTATCAGGAGCTGTGAAACCAGAGGGGTGGGAAAAGGAGACAGGCAGCTGCCTCAAACCTCCTACCAGTGCTGTGCCTTCAGCCAGCTTCCACACAGAGAGGAGGGTTTGGTGGGCAAGGGAGATGCCAAAACTGAGGGAGAGGCACAGGATGGAGATAGCTCAGTAGACCAGACATGTAGTAGAAAAAGCCACTTTCCACTCTGCAGTCTAGACAGAGAGCAAGGCACCGTCCAGCCTTCTTGGGAGCAGCCAGTGTATTTACTCTGCTGAAACATTTCCCTCACTCCCAGTGTCTGGCATTAGCTTCTTTCCTACTACCCCTGGCCAAGAGGATCTCTACAGCTCAAAATAAACCTTGTTTACAGACAGCAGTCACTGCAGCAAAGAAGGTTATCCTCTAAAGGTTCCGATAAGCCAGCCTGCCCATATCCCTTTCCAAAGAAGCCATCAAAAGGAAACACCCTACCTCCACATTGACATTTCGGATCTGCACATTGATCAGCGAGAACTCTTGCTGCAGTGTTTGGGGCAGCCCCAGTTGCTCTGTTTTCTTTCCCACCAGTGGGTCATTCAGGAAATCTTCTTTTAATGCTGTCAGGAACAATAGAGAAATGGTTGAGAGAAGTTATAACGGACAGACTTTTGGCGTGTGATGCCAGGAGGCAGCCAGGACAGCAGGCTTTTCTCTGCACTTCTGACACATGGAGGTATGAGTTTTACTTGCCAAAGACCTGGAAAGTATTAGCAGCTGTTTAGACGCAAGCTTCTGGGCCTTGCCCTTCAAGAAAACCAAACCTACCTGCACACAGGTTTCACAAGATGGTTAGAGAAGCTGCCTGTATTCTGTAGAGATCTAAGTGATCTATCTCTACTCATTTGAGACCCCTTGTCCTCCCTACACAGTACTACCAGAGTCACAAACAGCTGAACTGGAGCCTCTCAGGTTGCTGTGAAAGAACTGCTGCCAAAGCAATCTCCAGGAGGAGCTCTGGTCTTTGGGACTCACACCCCACCACTCTTGGCTTTCAGGGAATGCTTCCAAAGCATGATAAGGCTAGGGAGAGAAAAAGAGGGTATTTCTGGCAGTAGTAGAGGCTTAACTCATTTACAGCAGCCATTTTCACTTAATGTTGCAAAGCATTTGAGTGCTTTAACAGATTCTAAAGCCCATCTAAACACTGGGTCTAGTGTCAAAATCCAACAGTTTTCAGAGGAGAGTAACCCTGAAAGCCAGAATACATTTAACAGCCAGGCAAGCGCTGCAGGACACAAGGAATTAAGATGGCAAACTTGACTGAGTTTCAGAAGAACTGGTCTCTGCCTGTGGTGGTGCCTGGCTTTTGCCTCATATCTTGCTATGTATCCCCATTAGGGCAGTGGCAGCTCCTTCGGAAGAGTGTTTTGCTGTGCCATCACTTCCTAAGACAACAAAAGAAGTACTTTTTGATTCCTTTGTTCCAAGGATACAAGGGAAGTCCCAATTATTCGGCTGTCATCCTCAAGTTTTCTGTATCATATTGTGCAGACTATTCCTAGCAAAAAAAAATAAATTACAAGAAATGCAAAAAGCTGCCCTTTTACAGGCCTTTGCTTAAAACTTACTGAGTTTACTGCTGGGATAAATATATCTGGTTTTACTGCTGCCCAGTGGGTTGCTGAATTTGGATAGGTAGGATGCTTAGCTACCCATTCCTGTTTGCAGTTTTATTATAGTGCCTAGGTATACTTCACAAAAGAGAGCTGAAAAGGGGATTAGGAAGATCAGTGGCTATCAGGGAAGATAATTACTTCTAGCTCAAGACACAACATAGCTTACTGAAAAGCTTTCTCTGCGGTTCCTGATATGGGCAGTACCCTCCCTTTGTCTTCTCCTCCCATTCCCTTCAAATTAGTTTCTAGTCCCCCAAAGCCCAAATATTTGTCTAGATTCCTAAAGACCCTTTACAGGCAGCTGCCAGTAAGGAGAGCTGTGCACTGAAGACACAGCTGGCGGGCTTTCTGATTTACCTGCAGAGCACTGCTTTCTTCAAACATCCCCTAAAGTGCTTTACTAATACAGCATGGAGAAACTGTCTGCAGCTGAAATGCAGCCACCTCCAGGGTAAAACATCAACGCTCCACAACAGCTTTTAGGCTAGAAAGAAATGAAATTCCTCCTTAAGGACTTGCCTGGGCATTAATCCTGCAGTCATGGTATTTGCAGCAAAATCTATCCTGCTAAAGAAAAGCCATTTTCATTCCCCTTGGCTTCAAGAGAAACCCTACCAGTCTGAACCAAAGCCAGACCCATACAGAAACAACATCGGACAGATGAACATGACCTAATCAGGGACAGTGAAAGAGTTAACTCTCTCCTGTGGAAAAAGAGAGGTCAGGCAGCCCTCAGAACACATAATGCTCCCAGTGGGAGCAAGAGTGGCTGTGCTTCCCCACACAGCATTGCTCATGGAGAACACAGGTAGCCAGGCCTTTATCTATCATATTATAAAATGTAGGCAGAGGTGCTGATTTAGAAACCCTCATGTAGGCAGAGGTGCTGATGACTTTTATAAACTTGTTCTGCTGCCTGGCAGAAAGGAACTTCACTGGGATTTTCTGGGCAGGAAATTTCCAGTTAGTAAGACATGCCTTCCCTAAGGGACCTCACAGCTGGGTCCTTTATTCAAAGGACAGATACTAGATCACTTCCCTTCTCTCCAGTTGGTTGGCAAGGCAAATGGAGAATCAAATTGGTTTTCTGTAAGCCACTCACATAGGGATTGATTGTAGCACCCTGATCCAATACAGAAAGGAACTCTGAATTTAAACCCAAACTATCACAAAGGCATGTAAGCAACCAATTCTGCTTCCTCAGTATTAGATAAAGAACACTCTTTAGATATCTTTTCCACAAGCAAATCATCACCGTGGCCTCAGCTTCTGCAATCTCTCCTATTCTGGCACCTACACTCTTGAAACACTAACACCCTGAATGTTTAACCTGGCCAGAGCCTTAACCTCACAAATCCTCCTTTGCATTCCTTCCTTATGCCTTCTCTTCATAGAATCATAGAATAGTTAGGGTTGGAAAGGACCTTAAGATCATCAAGTTCCAACACCCCTGCCATGGGCAGGGACACCTCCCACTAAACCATGTCACCCAAGGCTCTCTCCAACCTGGCCTTGAACACCGCCAGGGATGGAGAATTCACAAGTTCCTTAGGCAATCCATTCCAGTGCCTCACCACCCTTACAGTAAAGAACTTCTTCCTTATATCCAATCTAAACTTGCCCTGTTTAAGTACGAACCCATTACCCCTTGTCCTATCACTACAGTCCCTAATGAACAGTCCCTCCCCAGCATCCCTATAGCTCCCCTTCAGATACTGGAAGGCTGCTATGAGGTCCATGAAGAATGCTCCATCAATGCTTTCTGTTAAAGCCTCTAACCCACTCCCATCCACCACCTGGTACTTAGAAGTTAGAGACAGTATCGCTCCCCCTCTGCTCTGCCACCCTGCAGTCACCTCTCATCAATACACGAACAAAAAACTTCACAAGCTCTCTCCATGCTAATTCTGGGGGATGGGAGAAGACACCAGCAAACAGCTCCACATTAGATCAGTTCACACAGTGCCCCCAGCAGAAGTGTTTAGGTACCAGATGTGAAGTAAGCAGCTTGTGTCTGAGTGCCGTACCCATACAGTCCCTTCTTCTGTGGGTTCACCTCTCAGCTTAAACTAATCTATCTTCTTAAGATGTAGGATTATTTTCCTATTGCCTTATTTTTGGCAGCAAGCCACAATTATGACAAAAAGAGAATGCAGTGGTATTAGTAACAAGGAAGAGCTTCATTTTAGAGCTAGAATCATTGTGGTAGAGGAGAAAAAACTTGGGAAGACCATTCTGAGACACTCCTAGTGTTTTCCCTCCTCCCCACACGGCGAATCCACTAGCCTTTGGAAGAGCAGCAGTTTGCGCTTTCTCTACAAAGTTCTTATGTCAAGATGCATCTTCTTCCCAACACAAAGACAAGTGGTGTTTGAAGTCACCCATCACTTGTCTCACCTTCCTCATCCCCATGTCCAGAGTTATGCTGGGACTCCGAGTCCTGTGGGTGAAGGGTCTTGTCTGGCTCTGGTAGATGAGAAATCCCATCGATGAGGTCCTCGACTCCATCCAGGATATCATTAGCACATAGCTAAAAAGAACAAACACACTCACACACTGCACAACAGAAACCAAACTGTGGGAAGAGCCACCACTACACAACTCGTTTCTCCAGGGAGCAGGATTTGCAAGGTAGATCTATCCGCGCCACAGTCATGACCTAGACCTCATCATTGTTTCTATGACAAAGATGGGTGATCTTCCACTTTCCAGCATCCCCAGCTCTGTCACCTCAGACAGCCTGGCCAAATCTCCTGCTCACTTACAAAGCCTCTTAATTGACAGAGCCAATCTAAGTAACAGGTTTTACTTCAATCAAAACAAAAGCTGGTATGACACTTTCTGCTTTTGATATTTATACTTCTGATATTTACAGCAGGACGCAGAGACCCAGGTACATGCTAGAGACCTTAGTGTTCTAGGTCCTGTATCAAAAGAGACCATGAAAACTTGTACTTTAAGTTCAGCACAGGAAAACAGGGAAGATGAAGAGAGGAAACATAGGGAGGAGAAAGAAAAAGAGTATGCAATGTAGGAAATTAGAGCACTGGTCACTAGCAACATGCCATCATGTGTGTTGCTTGATTCAGACAAAGACAAGGACAGAAGCGTGGAGTGGGAGCCAGCACAGGAAGTGTAAAGGCTCTAACATGGATGAACAATTGATTTAAAGACTAGAAAGAAATCAGATGTTCACAAATATATCAGGTAGGAGTAAAGGGTCATTTTTCACAAAGAAAGTTTGTTACAGACCTGCAGGACTCCTGCAGGATCTGTGCTGGGACACAAGCTTTTCAACATATTCATTAAAAACCTGGAACAGGAGGTGAATAGCAACACAACCAGGTTTGCTGATGCCACCAAGTTTTTCAGGGTAGTAACAAGAGTGGCTCAGTGCAAACAATCACAGAAGGACCTTACAGGAGTAACTGTATTAAAATAAAATATGAATTTCCGATAAAGAAACACATATAGGCTTAAAAAATGGCAAGTTCAAGCTGACTGAGGGAACAAAATGCAGAGGGCCAGACTAAGCTGATGTTTTCATGGAATTAATGCCTGACAATTTACAAAACCACAGTACTGAGAATTCTTTGGAAAGAAGAAAGATCATATCCCCAGCCCAAATACTGAAGCTGAAAAAGGGCCATGAAAGGCAGAAGGGTAAACATCTTGTACAAAGGATGAAGTAAATCAAGACCTTCTGTCTTGAAAAAGAAGGCAGCTGAGCAGGAATATCAAGGGTATCTATGGAATCATTAGTAGCATGTACAAGATGGCTGCTCATTTCATCTTCAATGCAACGAAACTGTCAGGTTGCAAAATAAACACATGAAAGGACTTGGTTTTCCATACAACATGCATGAAAAATCATGAAACTCCTTACTGATAGGATGTTAAAGATGACAAAAATTTACACAGGTCCAAGCAAAGACAGAACAAGTCAATGGAAGTGAAACTCATCAAGCTCTGTTGAATACAAAGATGCCAGACTCAATGAGCCTCTAAGCTGCAAATTGCAGGGGCCTGGCAGGGCCCCATACTTGCTTTCTCTTATCCCCTTCCAAGGCATCCACAGCTGAAGCTGAAACAGGGCAATATGGACCATATGAACCTCTGGTCTGACCCAGCATGGGTGTTCCAGTAATTGCATCAGCAACTTGTAACTGCTGCCAGACAGCAGAGTAAACAGGATTCATACTGCCTGTACCAGCCTAAGAAGCAATAGAAACAAGGGGAGAAAGTGGAGAGCACAATCCCTACATTTACCTGGAATTTAAAATGCCAAGAGTCATACAGTCCTGCAGCCATGGAGATGGCATCTTCAGAAGCAGTGCAGACATTAACCTATCTCCACCTTCCCCAAATGACTTCTACACTTACTGTCACACCACAAAGCGGCTTTGCACTTCCACAGAAACTTTTGAGGCACAGAGAAGCCGCATCACAGGCCTTCTCAGGGGTGCTTCTGAGCTGAAGCTGAAGAGGAAAGTGGAGCAGCAGCTGGCTGACATGTCTGCAGCTCTAGGATACCAGAGGAGTTACTGGGAGTATAAGGAAAGGGCAGTGAACCCAGCCTGTAAGAAAACTGTCTACAGTCCAAGAGCTGAAGTGTTTACATACCCTCTGCAGCTGAGAGTCAATCCGCCACATGCGCAGAGTCTGATCACGGGACCACGTAACCAGCTGGTAGTCTTTAGAACCTACAAAGGACAGAAACAATTTACAGACCTGGCTGAAAACAGAGACTATCTCAGCCCTGTCTTTGGTGTAAACAGATTCAAGCAAGCCAGGAGGGAGATCCAATGGGTAAGGCACTAAACCAAAAGGCAAAGTGAGTCCTTTTCTGCTTTGAACTGACCTAGGTGCATCAGCCTTTATGTCTCCCTGCACCAGTTACCACACCTCTAAATGGGGTATAACTTACACGCAAAAAAGCACAAGGTATAATGAATGTGATGCAAGTTTTCCAACTAGGAATGGACAAGTTCTGCTGCAATACTTATTTAAATAGAAGAAATAATATAGTTGAGAAACAGATTTGTTTTTGCAGTTGTAAAGTCAAATTATCTTCAACCTATCTGTTTCAAGATGCCAACGTTTTAAAACATTTTTAAGCTAAGAGAAGCTTGTTCAACCCTCCTCCTTCCTTCTGAAAGACTTGGCCAATGCCACAACAAGTTCAGGTTGTAATGAAATACATCTAGGTACATACTATCTACCAACAGATAAAGACAAACAGACTTATTTATGCCCATGTTTACATGTGCCTTGTGACACAGTTTAAATTTCCCTTGTCAAACAGCTGCTACACTCAAGAATTTGCTGCTGAACAACTGCTTCCTACACCCCTCTGCTGAGATATGGGGACTGTCTAAATACAGCACAGCAGGCTCTGTAGAAGCAGAACTGTGCTATCTTGGTTGCCTCCACACTGAAGCAGACTTGGAATGCTTGCATGATTAATCTATGCTGCTTGAGATGATTTCCAGCCTCGGATATGTAGCTACTAACTCAGATAAGACACACAACTCTGGTTCAAGCCTGCCTGAATGTTCATTCACAAGCTGGCTTAGACTGTACCTCCAGATCCTAATATGGCTCTGTACCATTCCCCTCCTTTTGAAAGAGGAAAAGCAAGGGATGGAGAAGAAGGTGACTTAACTGAATTGCCCCAATAGCTGGTGGCAGACGGCTGGACATTGCAAAGTCGTATCACAAGTGGCACCAAAGCCAACCATGCAAGTTCTGTCAATGGCAGTTGAGGTGCTGGAAACAAAGCCTCACTCTGTGTGGTTATCCAACTTCTAATATGGAATATCCTATACCCCTTGTCCTACCACTATAGTCCCTAATGAAGAGTCCCTCCCCAGAAGCCCTATAGGCCTCCTTCAGATACTGGAAGGCTGCTACAAGGTTTCAACACAGCCTTCTCCAGGCTGAACAGCCCCAACTTTCTCAGCCTATCTTCATACAGGAGGTGCTCCAGTCCCCTGATCATCCTTGCGGCCCTTCTCTGGACTTGTTCCAACAGTTCCATGTCCTTTTTATGTTGAGGACACCAGAACTGCACACAATACTCCAGGTGAGGTCTCACAAGAGTAAAGGGGCAGGATCACCTCCTTTGACCTGCTGTCATGCTCCTTTTGAGGCAGCCCAGGATGCGCTTGGCTTTCTGGGCTGCAAGCGCACACTGAAGCTGGCTCATGTTCATCTTCCCATCAACTAACACCCCCAAGTCTTTCTCCACAGGGCTGCTCTGAATCTCCTCTTTGCCCAACCTGTAGCTGTGCCTGGGATTGCTCCGACTTAAACAGGGGAAGTTTAGATTGGATATAAGGAGGAAATTCTTTCCTGTTAGGGTGGTGAGGCACTGAAATAGGTTGCCCAGGGAGGCTGTGAATGCTCCATCACTGGCAGTGTTCAAGACCAGGTCGGATGAGGCCTTGGGTGATATGGTTTAGTGTGAGGTTTCCCTGCCCATGGCAGGGGGCTTGGAACTAGGTGATCTTAAGGTCCTTTCCAACCCTAACTGTTCTATGATTCTATGATTCTATATTTAGCTGCCTGCACTGGAAAATGCAGTCAGGACTGAACTCTGACAGCAGTCTCTCTATCCCACGCTCTTCATACCCTGCCTTTGCCAGCATGCAGATAAGGTGCGTTCGCTGGGTCTCTGGTCTGGGATATGCTAGAGGCTGCTGATCCAGGCAGTGATTGAGGGGTTAATCGGTTAGCCTGGAGCTCTGAGCAGAATTTGTGCACCCATCTAACGGTTTGTACAATTTATTCTAAAAGATACATTCAAAAATAGACACAGGAGAGTGGAAACAATTAGAGTCACTGCTGACCCATTCAGCATTTGGTAATTTACTTTGTTAGCATGGAAACAACAGGGCAATGCTTCTGTGGGTGTTGCTATAAAACAAGTACAAAATAGCTGAAGCTTGAGGAGGAGCAGGAAAGTGGGTAGGAGGCACTCCAAGGAAAGGCAAGAGTCAAATGGTGATAGCAAAACCACTGAAGCCAGGCACCAGCCCTTCCTATCCCTGGTTAGCTGATGGCCACAGTGCAGGGGAGGGAACACATCCAGCCCTGAACTCACCTTCTTTTTGCTTCCTCCACTGAAATTCCAGCACCACATCATCATGTCCCACAAAGGTGTGGACAGGCGTGTTCAAGTCAAAGACATTCCAGAGAAGAAGACTGTTCTCCCGGCGGAGTTGAGGGACCATTACTGTCACCAGCCCATTGCTGAAAGGCTTGAGAGAGAAACACCCTTTCAGTTAGCCTTGGGGAGCCATGCTGCTGTTACCATACCCTTAATTTTCCCCTTTTCCTATCAAGGATATGTGGTTTTTAAAGAAGGTCAGCCCAAAACAGAAACCAGCATAAAACTGGGAGGGTAAACAGCAAATGTTGTGCAAAACTAGTGTCTTACAAGGTAAAAAGGTGAAAGAGATTGAGATACTCATTGCAGCTCATTTAAGATTAATAATTTTCTTCTGCTGCATCCTCACATTTTAGCTGGGAGGCTGAAGGGATTTCACCACTGACACAGGGCATCCTTCCTGCAATTTGCCTGGAGCTGCAAGAACCGCTACCTGGGGACTGAGTCCCAGCAGCTGCTCAGGGTCACCATGCTCAGACTGGAACCCAGTACTGCACCCACCACCATGGGGATGGGAAAAGAGGATCAAAGACTGAAGGCACAGCACTGTCGTCAGACCACATTCAGACGTCTGGGGAAGAGAGTACAGATGACTGATGTCAAGAGCCTTAGCTTCATACAGATGCGTGCTTGCTTTATAAATGGCAACAGTTCTTGGATTTGATATGCTGTAAGATCCCATCGTGGCACACTTGGAAACCTTGGGAGTAGAGGAAGCGCTCAAGAGAAGGAAGACCACAGCTGCACTGCTCTGTGCAACACGTACTAATGCTGAAGCTGAGCAGAAAAACAGGAAAGCAGCAGCCACCTTCTGAGCCTCTTTCTCCCAGAGCAAATCACCTGCACTTAGGTCTTCATCCCCCAGGAGGATGATGCCCAAGATCAGGATCTCACAGTGCTTTGCATTCCTTCCCCTGAGTGCCTTCCATAGTGGATGTTGCTTTTCTAGGTATTTTAAGCACCAAGACGGATTTTAAAAATCAATCTAATGTCCAGCAGTAGAACTGGTGAGAAGCCCTTCAACAGTTCTTCTTTATTTAATGTCCCTTTGTGTATTTGAGTTACTCACCGTGTACCTTGCCTTCCAGACAGGAACCTGGCAGGGAAGGATATTAAGGTATTTCCGAGGCTGACGGTAATCCCAGAACTTAAAGAAATAAAACACAGAAAGACATGCAAAGGCATGAGTCAGCTGGCTATACTTCAAGGCTGCAGTCTTCCATGTGGCTTGCAGATATAACAGAGTGAAAAACATACCATGATGCCCACAGCATCATTAGTAATCCCACTCACTAACAGCAGAGATGGCCCCAAAAGACAAATATCAAGCTATCAGCATCTGGCAGCATCCCTTAGACGAGTGACCTGAGGTCACGTTCAGTGATCATAGCTTAAGTAATTAGAGCAGGGAGACCAGTAGCCTGCTTGGGCTTTCAGAGCTGCAAGGCACCCTGCAGGCTCCCAGCCAAAGTGCCAGTCCAGACTGGAGGCAGACCCACCATGCTGTTACTGCTAATTTTGTAATGAAGAACCTAACCTTTTGCTTTGCTAGAATACACATCAATTGCATTTGCCTCAGATCTTAGGTAAATGTGAATGAACTACATTTGGCTGACATACAAAGCACAAAATTGCTCCCAAGTAAAAGGCCCTGCAGAGCAGCGCTTGCAGGCAGTCTTATTGATAACCAAGTTGAACATGAGTTTGGGAACCCCAGGGGCTGTAGTATGTCTTCCCCCCAAGTTGCTGTAATCAGCTTGAGGCTGGCAACACTTCATTTTGAGAAGGCTCTTCTGACAAGCAACAGGCAGAGACAGTTGTTTTCAGCCTCAGTACTGCCCAAATCACCACAGATACGTGTCAAACATATGTGCACCCATCCTGCAGTAACTTTTCTGCCTGTTCTGTAAGCAAACCCCTGGCCACAGACGTGTCCAGAAAGCACAAAGTAAGGATCCAGATCTTGCCAACGGCAAGCACTCCTCAAGCCTTCAGTAGTAGAAGGGGATCTGCTGTACCATCCTGACATCTCCCAAGCAGGAATCCCAAAAAGTAACACTTACCCTGACAGAGTTGTCCTGGCTTGAAGTGGCCAGTGTATACTCATTGTCAGGATGCCAATCCAGACCATGGATTTTAGAGAGATGAGCTGCCAAGTACTCTACTGCAGTACTGGGTTTCTGCAAGGAGAGACATTTTCCTTCTCAGCACAGGACTCCTGAAATTTTGACTAGTACTTCGGCATAAAAAGAGACAATTTAACAAGGGAGGTGGAACACCTTCCTGCTGGGGAAAGGCAAACAGTCCAGCAAAAGTGGTTGAAGAAAAGGTCCTAGGAAGCTGTGGCAAATTCCAGTCACCAAGTACAGCCCTGAACGATCCTTTGTGTTCAGTAAAACAATGAAGTGCTATGAGAACAAAAGCAAAGTGTTAATAGACATAGTTTCTGGGGAAGGAGGTTATTTACATGCTCTCTTCTAGAGAAGGACTTTTTACAAAGGCGTGTAGTGAAGGGGGACAAGGGGGGACAAGACAAGGGGGAATGGCTTTAAACTGAAAAAGGGTGGATTTAGATTAGACATTAGGAAGAAATTCTTTACTAAAGGTGGTGAGGCCCTTGCACAGGCTGCCCAGGAGAAGCTGTGGCTGCCCCATCCCTGGCAGTGTTCAAGGCCAGTTTGGACAGGGCTTGGAGCAACCTAGTTTAGTGGAAGGTGTCCCTGCATGTGGCAGGGGGTTGGAACTGCATGAGCTTTAAGGTCCCTTCCAACCCAAACCAGTCTCAGATTCTATGAATATGCACAGACTGCTCAAAAACACCCCAGCTTACCCTTTTGTCCCATATTCGGACATCCCCATCATGGCTTGTTGCTAAACAGTTGGCATTTTTCTTGTTCCATTTCACCTGGGAAGCTCCAGCTGCAGCACAAACACAGCAGGTCAAAACAAGCAGTTATAAAGTAAATGGCATAGCAGACTCCTGACCTGGGCTTAGAGCTGCTCTTCTTAGCACAGGAAAGGCATTTCAGAGGACGGATATCCCAGAAGCCTGCATGAAGGATGGCACGAAAATTACTAACTCCCAATTCCTCAGCATAGTGTTTGTGTCCAAAGCAAGACAGTTCCAGTTACATGCCTAGAGATCTACACTGCAGCTTCTAGTCACAGGCTGCCCCCAGTTAGAATATTCACATCCATTAACTCAGATGGAGCAACTTCTTCCAGATAAGAACTGCAGGTTCCCCGCTCCCCTCCCAAATCCCTTGTTTTTATTCAAGTTACTTCCAAGTGCTCACAGATTGACCAATTTGTCTCCCCAACATCCTCTCTGCTATCTGATGCTATACAATGAACCAGTGTTACTGGCTTATTATTAAAACACAGGTGTAGAAGGCAGGTGCACCTTGTGTCTGGCCAGCTGGAGGTAAGGCTCACTGGGTGGAAGGAAGGCTCAATTGTCAAAATACACAACAAAGTCAAAGACATCAATAGCTTTGTTAAGAAACTGGATAATGGTCCAGATATGATTATATGGGATATCATGTGTGACTCAATCAACAGCAGATGAGTAGTTATTTCTACTCAAAACACAGCTTCAGTTGATGTGGATTGTTCAAATACTGTAAGAGAAATATGTATTCTGTTTATCCTTATTCCACCAGTATTTTCAAAATATTCTGAGCTATCAGAAAGGTGAGGTCCATAAAAAAGCCAAACAGAGCTCAGCCTGCTGCTATCCCCCACCTTCTGCTGCATGGTGAGCAGATTCATCCTGATAACCTATCAAAAAATTAGTAAGGAAAACAAACAATACTACACTACTAATAATAATCTGTAAATAGGCTGCCAATTGATGATTTGATCCACTCACTGAAGGGTATACAAACCTCTGGACCAGCACTAAACAGAATTGGGCATGGGAGGAAGGATGCTTTCTGGGGAGCTAGCTGCCGGGCTGGCTCAGCTGACCCATGGAACCTCACCCCAGGCACCAGAACTGAATGCTGCTTTTCTCTGATTCAGGAAGGTTTTTGCACTACTGTGATAGATGGGTTTACTGGGTGCAAGGGAAGAGGGACACACTGAAGATGTGCAGCCCAAGGAGAAATAAGCAGCAGAGCGTAAGACATAAACAGTGGGAGAATTGCTCTAATACTGAGGGCAGTAGCTCAGGAAAAGGACATTTTGCTTGTCAGCTGTGCTTCACCTAGTTCCAACACACTGCTGGTGAGGACTGACACAAAGCACCTGCCACCAGGCTGTATTACAGGTGGCTGGAGAGTTACACTGCCAGGAGCCACAACAAGTGTCTTTCCAGAGCAAGCACAGCCCTTTGTGTCATGCTGAAGGTGCCCCAGGGAAGCAGAAACAGCAGGTTAATGTACCCAGCCCCTCAGTAAGTAAAGGGGGAGGCTGGCAGTCAGCAGGATCCAACAGCACTGCTGGGGTGTGATTTAGTTTCTCAGCTGATTTAAGCAAACATAAGAGGATGCGGAGATAATACAGACAGGCAACACAGGACAAGCAGGATGATTAAGCAGGAAGGAAGCTACATTTAAAGAGCACAAATACCATGTGACTGTCCACCAATTTCAGGACAGCCAGTCCAAGCACCATCCTCCATGCCTGGGGATCTCTAAGGGCTTCACATTCAATCTGAATTTTGCGCCTTTAAGACCTATGAACTGCGGCCTCTCAGGCTGCTCCTACATGGGACGATCACATGTGGTGGCACTTCTGTATTCTGCCATGTTCAGCCTCGGTGCACAACAGGAGGGAGGAATAACATCAGGGACACATGTCAATAGGCTTGTTTAATGCCTACATCACACATACATATTATACTTACCAACTGCAGAGAGTGAGACTGCAGGCTTCCTGGTGTCTCTGAAACACAACATGGCTAATATGAGGACCCACAGCATAGCACAGAAGGACCCCATTGAGCTCCTTGCTGTTCCAGGACTAATTGCATTGCTGTCTCCTGGGAGCTAATGTGCTTTCTGGTTACCAAAATACACCAGGGTTAAATGGAATAAAGAAAGAGGTGACTAGCTGGACCATGACAACTCCTAGCAGCCAGGACATGGATGAAGGCAATAATTTGCTTCTCAGGAATTTACCTGCCCTTTCATGAAAAATGCCATTGAAAATAAGGAATATTGTCTTCAGCTTTTTGCATTCACTGAAAACCAGCACATTTTCTGGAATGGACTGCACTTCCTCCCTCTAAGAATTTCTGCCTGATCAAACAGATATCTTGTATGAAAAACTGTGGGCAACTTCCAGCTGCCCTTATTGCAGGGCTACCTCTCTAGGGTGTCACTAAAGACAGCGATTTCAGCAGGATGTTAATTTGCTGGCGGCCAGCAGGCCCAGGACCTCACCGTCCCAGCAGCTCAGAGGCCTTACCAGCACAGGTGGGTTGTAGAGGCTAGTCAGAGACTGCCTAAGCAAGCATTTATGGTCAAGTGATACAGGCAGACACAAACCTTCAGAGAGCTCTATTTTTCACTTGGCACTAAGATAGTATCACAGGAAAACACAACCAGCAGTTATTGTCTCTCTATGTCTTTTAATTACACATTAATAATATATTGCCATTCTCAAGAACGATTTAACCAAGGATCTAAGAGCTTCATAGGAGCTAAACAAGCCTCAGGATAGCATGGTGCAGTGGGGTTATATAATTATCTTCCTATTACAACTGAGCAAGGCAGGCAGAGAGGAACCAAGTGACTTGCTGGCGGTCATAAAATAAAGAGCTGCTGTACAGTCAGACAAAGTACCCAGCAGCCTCAGTGCCACCTCCTTGCTTCTCAGGTGTAAAATACGTAATTCTAATATTGATGGGTTTGGAATATATTGTTGGAGATACCCCTTAACCTGAAATTGCCCACTTAAGAAATTTCACAGTAGAAAGCACCAGGAATCAAAGGAAAGCACAAACAGGAAAATGTTTGCAAATACCACTACCGCTCTTCTCACCGCTGAGGGAGACCTAGCAACAAGCAGTGAATTTAGTGTAAAATGCTGCAGGATCTTGAAGTAGTGTTCATTCACTCAGCTAGAAACCCCAACAGATTGAGGAACACCCTCAGTCTCCAGGAAAAGCTCCCAAAGAAAGATATGAAGTGGGTAGGGAATGAAGCCAGTTGATATTTTTTCAACAGAGGAGCATGACTGAGTACCAGTCTGCTGCCCTTCACTGACTCTGGTTTGAAAAAAGAGGAAGAGAAGTCATCTTTCAGGTTATGGGATGTAGACAAAGCCCCTGCAAGCACAGCTGAAGAGCAGCTTTAGTGCGTGCTTTGCCCTGCCAGCTGCTACTTATAGAAAGGAGTGCAATGATTCCCCTGCAGTGCAGGAACATACGGATTCTTACTTGATGTCCCAGATGTAGATGTATGTGTCAACAGAACTGGTGACTAGCAGGTCTGGCTCAAACACTGCCCAGTCCAGGTCACTGCAAATGCAAAATCATAAGGGGTCAGCAAAGGCAAGCACACAAAGTTTGCATCAACTTCTCACAAACCCCCAGTCCATTTCTCTGACAACTTCATTGCCACTCCATAAGATCTACTGAAATTTTCTAAGTAAAAAGATCTTAATAATTTCTCTAAGTAAATTCCACAAAGTAATGAAATGCTTCTAAGTGAAACACCCGTGAAACATGCTCCTGACCCTGAACCTTACAGCAATTACGCTTGCTCTCTTCCTTATCATTATTATTATTATTATTGCTGGTAGCAGTAGAGGTTTTGTGTTATACCTTAGTTACTGGACTGTTCTCATCTCAACCTGTGGGATTTACATTCTTTCGATTCTCCTCCCCATCCCTCCGGGAATGGATTGGAACAAATCAGGGGGAGTGAGTGAGCAGCTGCGTGGTTCTGAGTTGCCAGCTGGGCTTAAACCACCAAACAAGGACAGTGGCCTAAGGCAATGACACTGGAGCTATCAAAGGCTAAGCTGATACACTGGGGGCAGCCATGAGAGGGTGAGCTGCTTCACAGGTGATACTGCCTCCAACTGGGAAGGCAGTTCAGTCCAGAAAGGCAAAAACAGGCTCACAGCAGAGTCTGAACAGAGTGAAGACCAAAACACTCAGCTTCTGTGAAATGGTGCATCATTTTCCACCCAGCAGTCTGCAGCATAGCTTGTGTGTTCCTCACCTGATGACACGCGTGTGTCCTTGCAGTGATGTGCAAACTTCACCGTTCCCTTCCTTCCACTTATACAGGTCAACACGCTGATTGCTCTGAAATTAAACGGAAGAAAGGAGATAGTCAAAGAAGGTAGGAAGCTGTGAGAACCAGGTTCACTTCACTTTGAATGACTTCAGTTACCAATGAGTCACACCATGATTAGCAATGTCCTTGCTCAAAGCAAAAGAGCAAAGATGAAACTACAGGCTTCAAGGTCTCCCAAAAGCTTTAATTACTTAAAGTTGGAGATAAACAAGAAGGGGGGGGGGGGGGAAATCACAGTGCAAAATATTTCCATGAAATGATGTTCTCAGAGCTTTATTTCCTAACAACACTCTGTAAATGCAGACAAAAGGCATAAAAATTCTCTCTGCAAGAATACCCTACCAGTCTGTCCAGATTGTTTTCAGTGAGGAGGATGATGGATCACAATTGGTCCTCCTCAACATTCTCAATTCCCTTCCGAGATAATGAGGGCCATTGCCAAACACGAACAATACAGTCTAATGGCTTTAAGGTCACTTCCACCACTGCCAGCCCAGGGAAAAAAGCTTTCAAGTGTTTACCACTAACTGCAAACCACAGGAGCAATCCAGATGAATCAATTACAACAATATTTAAGGCCCTCTTACTTATTCCAGGAATAAATCCTCCCTCAGTGCTGCCACACACAAAAGTTACTTGGAAGTAGCTATTGTGCTTTAAGTTCACACTCTGCCTCAACCAAGGTTCACCTCAGCCCAGGTGGACTCCAATCTTTCTGGGGCAAGAATTGCCTTTTTGGGTGCATACACAGCACCAAGCACAGTGGATCTTAAGCCACAACTGGAAATTCATGTTGATTCTGGAAAAACATAAATAACACAATCTTCATCAGCCCCCTGATCTTCATTAGCCCCTTGTTTTCAGATTTACAGGTAGATGAGGGACAAAATAATAGAGAGGATACTTGCTTACAGTTTTTGCTGCAGTTTTGTGGTGGTGGTGTTTTATTCTTCTATCCCAAAACTGCTTCTTATTAATTGGAACTTGCAGATAGATAAAACACTACAGCTTTCCCTGAAATGGAATGTTTCCTCCCAACTCAGCAATAATATATGGCATTTCTCTAATAACTCACAAGAGCTTTGAGCAAGGAAAACTCCTTGCATGTTTCTCATTGACAGAAGGATTTAAGGGGGTACAGTGAAATTACCCAACAGGATTTATTCAGGACTCCAGAACTGGTGCTACAAGACAAAGGATTACCAGGTCATCAGACTTTTAGTAGTGCATCTCAAATGGAAAGTGTTGTCCCTAGCACCAGATGTGGTGAAACGACAGCTCCCTGCATCAGGTGCATTTTCTAGAATACGTGCTGCTCGTGTAAGTATCAGTGTGCACTTCCAACAGTTTCATCACCCTCTTGTTCAAGCATTTGTGACCACACAAAAGAAGTAACAAGGACTTAGGATTGAAAACAACTGCATTTCTTGAAACAACAGCTTAGGAGTCCTCAGAAACGTGCTCATGCCAAAGGGAAGACACAGCCAAGCACAGCTAGAGGACATGTTTCAGCTCTTCTGGAAAGAAGCTAAAAAAAGTAAGTCGTTATCCAAACACACGGACAGACTTCCCCTCTGCCTCCACCACTTCCAACTAACAGCACTGCAGACCGGGTGGAACTGTTGGCAGAGAGAACACCCCCTTTTACACTCCCTTTCCATCCTCAAGGATACCCACAGCAGAGGGATAGGACCCTGAAGGCTGTCCACAACATCTGCATGGTATACTTAAACATATGACAAACTCAACAGCAGACTGATGGGGGAATGATAGTCAGCCTAAGTGCAGAAGTAGCAAATCACATCTTCACAGTGTTGAATCCAAGCTGATTTAGTCTTCCCAATGCACCTTCGCCCCCCTGAGGTATGGCCCTCAAACACATCCACACGGCTTCTAAACCTGACCTGGGACACACAGACATGAGCACATGTTGTAAGCCCGTCTTCCACTTCTAAACAAGACAGGCTAAATTCTAATCCTAGGACGGGGCTGTAACGCAGCAGCACCAAAATTCCAGCCAACTATAGGATGGATGGAAAGGAGGTGTTTCTGACCCAAAAGAGAGAAGCTGCCTGATCTCATCATTTCCTGGGGTAATGGCTGGACTTGATGATCTTAAAGGTCTTTTCCAACCTAGTTGATTCTACTATCTTAGGTATTCCTCACCTGTTGTATGCCAGCAAGTACATCTAAATGACCAGAGCATCTTAGTAGAGAATCAGAATCACAGAATGGTTTGGGTTGCAAGGGACATTGAGGTCAACCAGTTCCAACCCCCTGCCACAGGCAGGGACACCTTCCACTAGACTAGGCTGCTCTAAGCCCCGTCCAACCTGGACTTGAATACTGCCATCTTCATTTATAAACAGGAGCATCAAGGTTTGATGCCACCTACACCTAGTTTCAGTCTGTAAAGAGAGGGGTTCCTGTGTCTGCTCAGGGCAGCAAAAGACGAGAGTGTGAGATGGGCACAGCCCTGGTTTACAGCAGGGTCTTGCTCAAATCAGTATTAACCAATCTCTGGATATTGCCTTCAGAGTGTGTTTGAAAAGAAGCTTTCCTGCTCTACTCGTGGCCTGCACAGCACATTTCATTATTTGGTTCTGATTTTCAGAGACTGTATGCAGAAGTGGCACTGAAGGGCACCTTTTTGCAAGTTTTACTAACTCTCTACTGAGATGCAGACAGCTGCTGAAGGCACCTTTAAGATACTAGTAAGTACTGCCAGAGCTGGGAGGAGACAGGCTGGGCAATTCAGACAGCAAACAAACAAAAGCTCCTAACTGACAACACTGGTCCATTTTCAAGACTGTCTTTAATCTCAAGTTGTAAGTAAGAGTCAAAAGTTAAGTGACAGTCCAAGTAGCAAAATGAACAAAAATCCCAGGAAACCACGTTCTGCTAAGTATTTTCTCAAGAAAAGTAGCTGAAACCTCTCTATTCCCAACTATTCCAGGACTCTCAGGCTATAAAAGCAGATGCAACATGGCAGCAAAGGCACCTCACCATGAGAACAATCTGTGTCTGGCCAGTGCTGGTTGCTGCAGTGCTGTGGTTGATGGCCAAGGCTGCCATTAGCAGAAGCTCAGGGCTCTGAGTGAACAATCTACAAAGCATGACAGACCAAGTAAAGATCAGAGCTAAACGCTGCACTCAAGTCTCACATGGCCGCTATTGCTTCTTCAGATCAGTCTATTTTTTTCTCCACACAATGAGTAAGAACTCTTTGCTGGCTCGGTCCCTGCCCATCTGCAAACCTAGATTGCTACAATGGTGAGCCAATATTGACTTGTGCTATTTACAGACTGCCTGGTGCACCACATCCCACCAGCAAGGTGAAAAGAAAACACAGAGTAAGAAATCCTATAAATCTCATAACACAATGGAAGTTAGAAAGAAAGTGCATCCCCTTTTCCTTCCAGAAAAGGACCATTTGAATGCCAAATTTATTTGGGAAGGTGTTTTTATAATAGACAAGCAAGCAAAACTAGATGCAACACTGACTGACCAATAACTGAGAGCCATCAAGCCAAATACCTCTCTGACAGTAGATCAGAGTGAGGCCTTGATCTTGCAACGTGACTTGCAAAGGCACACCTGTGTGAACTCCATACAGCCTTCCGACCCTGCAGAAGTCCACCCATGAAAGACAGGGGAAGGTAACTTATAGCTCTTAAATGAGGGAACTTACTGAGGCTGCAAAGTAGTACGCATAGCTGTCATGCGGGTTCCACTGCACTGCCCCTATGTCCCACTTGCTCTGTCGCGAGATCTTTCGATGTCCCTCGTTTGGTGCGTCCAGATTGACTATGTAGAGGAAACGGCGGCTGCAAGACACACAGACACAAAGGGGCTATATCACATAGGACTGATCTCAAAACCCCAAGCTCACATGGAGCTCACAGCCTTGTGCCTAGAGCACTGAAGAAGAGAAGCATTTCACAAGACAGATGAAAAGACGCTTCCTGAGACTGCTACATTTGACCACATACTTCAGAAAGGGCTACACTGAAAAAAACTCAGAAAGACACACTGAAATTACACAGGAACTGCAAATGTAATGGGTAGCTCTGACCACAGAAACCCCCAGGTAACCAAGATACAAAAGGAAGCACTGAGAAATGGTGCAAGCACATCCAAATATGCTTTGCTGGCCTGAAGCTGCAGCAGCAGAGGCGAGGTGGCGCAGACTGGGAGCACAACTGAATAGCTTCACAGGAGCCAGCTTCATTTTGAAGAGGTTGCTCTGAGCAGGAGTTAAGGAGCCCTGACAAACATCACATGATTCTGTGTGGCTGCATCTTTCCACACCACACTGCTTGTGGGGCTTGGTTCTGCAGACAGTACAAATACACCTGCACAGAGATAGCTCAGCTGCAGCAGCTTACGAACAGGCATGGACACAACACTGCATGGATCTGGTTACATTACTTACCTGAGCTAACCCTATATGCAGCAGAGATATGTCTGCAGGATGCTAAACCTGAGTTCATACAACCTGCTGGATGTGGCCAACTCCCCACAAAACTAGGAAAGGTATCATTCCTCCCACAGTGTGATTCATCTTACAAGCAAGATAAAGTGGCCAGAAATAATTGTGAGCCAGCTGAACTCTAATGAAAAACCAGTACCAAAACATATTGAACCATATATAATTAACCACATATCCCTCCATTGCAAGGATACAGCTGCTCTGAGTGCTGTGAATCCTCTTAAGAGAAGGAACATAACATTATTTGCTGCCTTTCCAGGCCAAAGTCCTCAAGGATCCTCCCTACTCCAAAAACCAAAGATGTTCAACCTTCTTAGGCTCTCACACAGCTTTAAAATAAAGGAGGCAAATCTTCAAGGACTGCTGAGCACGCAGGAGAAACTTGGAATGCAGAGGGTGGATGCTGAATTGCAAACAGGCTGTCCCCAACTTGTGTTGGCCTAAATAAGCAAGCTGTGAAACTGGGCAAGTGTAAGGAGGAAGGAGTATCAAGTTAGACCCAAGCCAGCTGCTGAGCTGGTTATTCCTGCACAGGGCTGCTGAGCTAAGGGTTTACATGGAAGAAAGCAGGCCCCTGAATTACACTGATTGAGATCTGTTTCCTCTGTGGCTGACCAAAGGTCAGCTACACCCATGCAATCTGAATTTGAAGTGAATATCCTAATTGGTGTGGTAATTGTGTCATTGACAGTGGGACAGGAATAGCTGTTGGCACTGAAAGGTGGCAGCAGGGCAGGCAATTGCTGAGCTGGTTAAAGACTTGCCCTGAGGGTGTCTATGTAATGCCAAGCTCTCTCAGAAGCTCTGGCAGCTTGGCACCTACTGCTCTTGTTGAGTATCATCCCCCACTGAACCAGCAGAGGAGCAGGTCAGAGAGCTTGGCTCTCACGCCCCAGTATATCATAAGAATACCTGTGGCAAATTTTGTCTTGAGGAAATTATTTAATCTGTATTTCAAGAAGAATCCAAACAGTAGTTTATGATGCTCCACCTCCTACAGGTGGATTTGGGAAAGCACATATGAGGAAAGCCAGGACAGTATTTTATTGTGATGTTATTTCTGGCTTTCCACTCTGTATCCCATTGGAAATGTAACCCAGAATCCTTTTCATCAAGCCATGAACAGAATTCAGCTACACCTTTCTGAAACAATACGTAAGACCTTCACCTGAAGGTTGCTGATTTGGCTTGTGGAAATGGCTGTCATACGATTCTAAAGGGGACTGTCACACTCACCCTGAGAGCACTGCATGCTGTCCCAGGCAATCCACTGACATTGCAGTCGCCTGTTAAAGAGAAACAAGAGAACAAAACGAAATTATATCTGTCATGCCAGCTTCTCAGCCAGACACACAGCTTTGGGGAGGAGCTCAGGAAAACCTGCCAGCTCATCACCAAGGTACAAACTGCTCTGGTAAGAGTCAAGGCTGGTACCAGTCAAGGATGGTAGAAGTAACGTTCCCTTAAAGAAGCACAGAAGGGCGATGGGGTGTAGCAGCTGATTTTGGGATGTAGGACAGCACACAGAAAACATCTTTGTTAGAGTAAACTGAAGACAAGACCTGGCAGACCCCATTACAACCACTAAGACCTTGCTCCCTTCTCTCCACTATGGCAATCACAGCTGCAGCCTTTCAATCAGCAATCTCTAATAATCCGTATTAATCAGCCTCTGCTCCCGCTCAGGAGCTTTCTCAGTCTCCCCCTCTTACACTGCAGGGCCAGATTTAATTATGTATGTTCTGGGAGACGGAATGCAATCATTTGTATATGGCTGGTCTCCAAAAATGAGAGATGGCTAAGAAGCATCAGAATTTAATTTGGCATTGCTTGTAAAGAAAGTCAAGAGATAACTTAAATGCCATAAGAAAAAAGAACAGACTGCTTGAACATTGTCTCCCATCTTTTTGTTCAGAATGGAATGGGGTGATCACCTCATTTAATTCCCAAGAGAACAAAGAAAACTTACTTGGAAAGCCAAACAGTTCAGCCTATAAACACAGATATGACTTCAATGCAGTTTTTAGTGTTCACAGTACAAAAATCAGATTATGCCCCATATTCTTCAAACTGACTGCTGTCATCTTCAAAGCTTCCTCTCTGAAGGCTCAGGATGTCCCTGTTGCTGTTCAGGATTCTGCTAAGTACTCTCAGTGTGGATATATCAAGATGTCCCACAGCTACTGGTTATAAAGGAGACAAAATGGCAGTCCCATTGGAGTTCCATCAGATGTGACAGGAGAATAACCATCGCAAAAACCTAGTTTTTTCAACCAAGGTTCCATCCCCTAATTCCAAGGACCCAAACTAAGGGAAAAACAGCTTCATGGGCTCATTCTTTGCTAGAGACCAAGAGTCCACATGGCAAAGAGCTTCAAACGCCTGCATAGTTTCAGCGCGAGTATGCAGTTAACCCCAGGCTCATACCTATGCCCAGTCAAGCCGATTTTGCTGTTCCAGGAGCGACCTGCCTTCACTGCTTTTTTCTAGGTAACAAATCCAGTCTTCTGGCAAGGTTCTCCTAGTCCTAAAATAATGCTGTAAAGAAGCAGCTGGTTTTAAAATCAGCTTGGTAAAGAAAGAATTCCAGCTTCCTAGATTTCACAGCACCTTGCAAAACAAAGTGGGTTCTTAAAATTTATTTAAAAAAAGGCAAGCAGGAGGAAGAACTTTCCCCAGACACACTTCTGAGGAATTAGAATGAGGATCGCTAAAGCCATTACTGGAAACAGAACTTTCTCACATGATGAAGAGCCACTCAGCTGACATACTGCATGCAGCTGTGGCTATCTTTCCTCAAGACAGAAGACAAACATCAATTTAACGTGATAATTTCATATACAAGTTTATTTTTCCTCCTGTTGGCACCAGGATATCATAAATCCTTACAAATTGTTTTTAATAATGAACATTGGTGAACTGTTTTTCCAAGCACCAAACATCATAAAATGCAATGAACAAGTAGAACAAAGTAAAAAGCTTCATGTGTCAGGCTGCTACTCTGGTAGGTCACAAATGAAGTAATTTTATGGCAACAAACAGTTCTTGACAATACTACAGTCTTACCTAAGCAACAGAAAAAAAACAACCAAACAGCTGCCACGTAATGTGCTTGGTTGATTGCTATGTCAGTCTTCACAGCATAAAGTTCCAGAAGCAGGGAACTGAAACTGAACAAACTGACCTGAAAGCAGCTTTTATCCCAAAACATCAGGATAGCTAGAATTGCTGTTTATGAGTAACAATTACATGAATAAGCACAGTAGGAGTACTGCACATTTGAAAATCAGCTCTGAGCCCACAGCCCAGCCAGCATCTCCTTAAGACTTCAAATGTCACTTAATTTCTGCTAACTAAGCCAGGAAAAACACCCTTTCATGTCTCAGCTTCAGTTACTTTTGAACCTAGCTTCGTTCTCTCCAACCAAAAGGCAACAGACCAACTCAATTTGCCAAGGCTATACTGCTTTTCAAGAGGTACAAACTCTTAGCATACCTAACTGGCTACCTACGCACTGAGCTGCTATATATGGTACTATGTCATCACTGTTGGACGTGGTGAGCTTTACTCTCCTTCTGGTACTACAGGCAGCCTGACAAGAGCCTGTGGGTCACATCTAAATCAGAAGAGCACAGAGACAGCCACCTCTGTCAGCTTGTCCAGCAAGATGATACCTGTAGGCAGTAAAGGCCCCAAATTACGCAGATATTTTCTGAAGTGTTAACAGGTTGGGTCCTTTAGTTTGTTCATCATGTCAGAGTGTGTCATGTGAAAAGACAACTGCTGTGCTTGCAGACACATACAGGCTATAAATGTAACCGCTGCCCACTCCTTTGACTCTCATTCCCATTTAAGTTGGATTTGGGGAAGGGATTTTGGAGACAGTGTGATCTATAGGCACAGCCCAAGCCTGGTACAGGACGACACGGCCAAGGTGTTTCAGTTTCTCAAGCTCAAGTTTCCCATCTGCAAAAAATGTTTGTGCAGACTCCTAAGAAAAGCTCAAGGACAAACACAGATGAATTTAGCTTGAAGCAGCAGCCTAGCAGCCACTGCAGCTCTCTGGTTTTATTATGAGGGAGTAGGCAGGTCAGAACAGCTCTAGACAGATCACACCGGAGTGAGCCAAAGGGACCAAAACCTGTGGTTAACCTCTCTATTAAGGTATATGCCTGCACAACAGCAAGATTGAAACTAATTGCTCCAGAAGAGGATGGAAACACTTGTGTTCTCCCCCTCGCATACCAGTTATTATGAATAAGCAATCAAATCAGGCCGCGTATCTCCTGAGCTGGATGCAATCCGAAACTGTGATCTAAGAAGACATATGCATATCATTACCTGTTTCCCAAGAGCAAATCTTCAACAGCAGGCAAAACTGCTTTAACATTTCTTACAAGAGGAAAACAAAACTGATACAAAGCTTTTGGGGTATAAAAGCAAAAGGCTTTCTGAGCTTAGAGAACAGGCTAGGTGCAGCACAAGACGATTCAATGCCCTTATTTGCAACGGTGAATGCAGAGCTGATGTCACTCCAACACAAGAGGAGAAACTAGAAAATGACAGCTTGCATACCTATGTTTGCTAATCTTTCTGGACTTCCTGCATAAATTGATCATAGTTTACCAACCGTATTCAGCTGTGCTAAGCAACTGTCACCTTAAACCCCCCCCCCCCCACTTCTTAGAATAGCTTCTAAGAGAGCACATAAACTCTGAGGAAAGCTCCCTTGTAGCCAGCAATTTCAAAACCAAAAGCTGACCGTTTTACTATTTACAAGAAAATATAAACCACTTTTCTACCTAATCGAGCATCACCCAACAGTTCCTATTGCAAATGAGAAAGGAGCTATAAAAGTCTCAGATGAAAAATGAGGAAAGATGTGTGGGAAGTGGCAATATCTTCTATTAGGCCTGACATTACACTCAAGAAAAAAAAAAAATCTAAATAAGATTAGACATAAAGTGCCTCATGAATTAAGGCATTATCTCCGCGCAAACAGCTCCGAGACTGGCTCAGACCGTCTGTCTACAGTCGGCCAAAGGCCCAGTGGGAAGGCCGAGCCCGTCTAGGCCAAAACCCCCTCCCCGCTCCTCACAGAAACGACCGGGCGCGCCCGGGGCAGCCCCACAAGGGCCGGTCCGAGCAGCGGCCGGTCCAAGCAGCAACTCCCGGCGGCGGCGGCCCCCCGACCTGGGCGTCACGGAACTCCACCACCACATTCTCGCTGCTCCAGCGCGCCGCCATCTTGTGCCGCCCCAGCACGAGCGGGGCGGGCAGCAGCGCGCCTGAGCGCAGCGGGGCGCCACGCGGGGGATGACGGGAAATGTAGTCCTCACTCACACACACCCCAGCACCCTCGGTCGTGGCCCAGGTCCGGTGCACCGGGGGCAGCGCGTCCCCCGCAACCGGCGCGGTCTCAAGGCGGGTACGGCCCTAGCGCGGCCTGGCTCCCCCAGACCGCCTAGCTGCGGCGTCGTCCGCGTGGTTACGGTCCCGCTGCAAGCCCGTGGGGTTGAGGGCTCTGCTTCGTGGGGCAGTAGCAGAAGCGCGGTGTCTCCGTGCCCTCCAGGGCCGCTGCGGGGTGGCGGACGAGCGCAAGCCCAGGCGACGGGTCCGGCAGCATCGCAGGGGTTAAGGGCGGCGGGCCGGGAGAGCGGGAGGCCGGGGGGGTGGGGGAGGTTGGGGGCGGGAGCATGCGTGCTGTCGGCCTCTATTGTCTCCGGCGCGGCGCCGAGCACCCAGGCGGCTGGCGGCGGCCGGCAGCGAGGCTGTGGCCGGCGCAGCGTAGCGGAGTGGGGCCCTGCGCCCCCGCCGCCCCCCGCCGCCGCCACATGGGCCGCAGCTGATCGTCGCCCGGCTGCTCGGCCGCGCCCCGGGCAGGAGCGAGGCGGGCGGAGCGACCCGACCGGCGTCCACCCTCCCCTCTTCCCCTTCCCTCCCTTCCCCCGCCATCCCGGGCATCCTCATTCCTCCCCTCCGCGGCTCCGGAGCCCTCGGCGGGAACCGCCGAGGGTGACGGCGGCGGCGGCGGCGGCCTCGGAGCGCCCTCGCCCTTGCGGGCCCGGCGCGGGGAGGATGCCTGGGGCGGGGATGGGTTTTCGCCCGTAGCTCCTCTCGCTCCCCCCGCTTCCTTCCGCCCCCTCTCGCCTCCCGGGGGCGGCGCGGCCCCGTTCCCCGCGGGGGGCTGTCGCTCAGCTCCCTCCGGCCCTGCGGCGCCCATATGGGGGGCAAGCAGAGCACGGCGGCCCGTTCGCGGGGCCCCTTCCCGGGGGTGTCGACGGATGACAGCGCCGTGCCGCCGCCGGGAGGAGGGGGGGGGCCGCCCCCCTTCGGCCATTACCGGGCGGGCGGCGGCGCCGGCGGCGCCATGGGGCTGCGCAGCCGCTCCGTCAGCTCGGTGGCTGGTATGGGCATGGACCCCGCAGCGGCCGGCGCCGTCCCCTTCGGGCTGTACGCAGCGGCGGCGCGGGCGGCAGAAGAGGCCGAGAGGACCCCGGGCGGCGGCGGCGGTCCAGGCTCCGACTCCACGTACGCCCATGGCAACGGTTACCAGGAGACGGGAGGCGGTCACCATAGAGACGGGATGCTGTACCTGGGCGCCAGGGCCTCGCTGGCCGACGCGCTGCCCCTCCACATCGCACCGCGGTGGTTCAGCTCGCACAGCGGTGAGTGCCGGCTCCCCGGAACCTCCCCACAGCTTCCACTCCATCCATGGGAGCCCCAGCTCAGTGGTGGGCACGGTTTGCCCAGGAACGGGTTGTGAGGGGGGCTACCCCTTGCTTGGCTGGCTGCTCACCCCCCCTTGTGCTAAGCCTGAAGGAAAGACCTCCATCCCTTTCCTGGTACTGGGGATGGCGTCTGTGTCAAGGTCAAGGGAGGAAGGGGCTGTGAAGGCAGGAGGCTTTCTGTAAGGGAGGTGGTTTGACTGGGATGTGATGTGATAGGTGTGGCAGACACATATCCCCCCTACTTCGACTTGGGGGAAAGTGGTCTGAAGGTGCTTTTGCTGGAGCACTGGGTTTTTGAAGACCAAACCAAGCTCCTTATGCCTCTATTGAAGGTGCTTGCGGGTGCTGCTCAGGTATAACTGTCCCCATGCATTAGAAACCGGGAAAGGGGCAGAGGAAGCCTTTGAAAGCGATGTGTGGGATTTTCTTCCCCTTTGTTTCTTCTGATAAAGGGCCAGGGAGAGGCCAAAGCGGGTTTTCTCATTGAAGCCAGCTGGCACCATTGTGATGCTGTGAAGGAAGCAGAGGAGGAACTGCCTGCCTCTTTAGCAGGGCTGGGAAGCCAGCTAGGCTCTCTTGCAGGAAACATCAGGCTGAGGGAGGAGAACAGTTGCCCCTATCTTCACCCTCCTGGCTGGACCCTTCTCTGGGTGCTGGTGTCTAGAGAGGAGCTCTGGCTGTGAGCGGGGCTGTGTCACTGACCTAGTTTTGGCTGGGTACAGGGAGTGAGATGGGAGGGCCTCCCTTTCCATCATGGCTAGGGGGGAAGTCATTTCAGGGATGTCTCCTTGTGTTTCCTGGAATAGTCTGGGATTTCTCTCCCACCCGTCCCCTTTGTAAGTGCTGTAAGTGTTCTCCTTACATGACATTGTCTGGGAATTTCATAATACACTTTGGGACAATGCCTCATTTTCAGAAAGGATTGAAACTGAACCAATGGACAAGAACTAAGTGCAAAACAAGGCTTTTGGGGCCCATTTTCCTCCTTCCATCTTGGGATTTTTCCCATTTACGCAGTCTTCAGGGGCAACTCTTCTCAGTTAAATGAAAGCTATATGTCTTGCATTGTATCCTCAGTGGCAGAACACCCTGATCAGGGTGCTTGCAGTCCTCCCTGGCAGATGGAGAGGGCTGACTGGCATGTGAGGTCAACTGCTTCCACAAACTTTCTTGCTCCATGACCTTGTACAGACCGTGCTGCTGCTCTGGGTTTTAAGCACAGATAGAAACTAAGGCACGGCATCCTTGCAGGTATTTCACAAACCTCTGTGTGAACAAGTGCCATGAGGCCTTTTGCTGCGCCTGGCACTGGAGCGAGGAGTGTTCCATTGGAGAAACACCCTGGGGCTAATCTGCACTTAGAGGTGGTCAGTTAGAGAGTATCAGTTACATTAAATGGTAGTTTTCAAGCTGCAATGCTGAGAGGCAAAGACCTGCTCATAAAAATAAACCAGCTGCAAAATGGAGTAAGCTTTTTCTGGCTGCTCAGGTTAGTACAATGCTGCTAAGTTAAAGCCAATGTCCTTGGAAGCTTGCAGCACAAGCTGTGGGAAGTGCTGCAGGAACTGGGTTTCTCTGGTGCCTCTTTTGGGGCCCTCTGAGAGTGAGCTATGCTGAAGCAACAGTGAAAGCAGTTCAGTCTGTGCTGAAGCCTATCCTGGTGGTGGTTCTTCCTCATTGCTAATTAATAGCAAAAGGAACGGAGGATGCTTAAAAACCATCCTGAAAAGTTGTTGGAGCTTGTTAGACTTTTGCGTTCTTCCTCTTAGTGTAAGAAGTTAATGGAGGATTTGGAGGCTGAAAGGAAGAGGAAGTAAGCCACCTCAAGATTGCTAACATTCCTGCTAATCTCCTGTTGCAGCTGGTTAAGCTACAGCAGGGCAGGCAGGAGCTACTCGCTTCTCCCACCTTGCCTCCCCATTGATCTGCTCCTCTCATGGTGTGGAGCCACTCTATTACCCACTGGAAAGTGCTGAAGCAGCAGCACTCCAGTAAATGGAGAGTAGCTTTGACATTGCTGTGCCTGATTGTCTCTTCTTTGAAGGATGACTCAGGGGTGTGGGGATTAGGGGACCCATTGACACACCAAACCCACTCAGCAGGATGTGTGCCTCGTGATCGCGGGGGTCTGCCCACGTTGCTGTACTGCCTCAGGAGAGGAGTCCCCCCAGACTGTGGCTAAGAGGTCTGGAGAGTTGATCCTTGCCCTGCCTGCCCTTTCCTCTGCACAAGCTGGAGACCTGGACAGTGCTGATCTTGGCACATGGAGGAGGTTGTGCTCATGAGCTTGCTTTTCCAGGAGTACTGGAGTTTTGGGGTAGAGCCAGGAGCCTCAAAGTGCAGCCTGGGCTCTTTAGGGACCCTGGTGGGACAGCAAGGAGCCCTGGCTTAATGCTGGTGATAAGGTGCTGTTGTTGCAGCAACATGCCTGTGATAACAGGAGCATGTAGATAGGCTGGGCACCTCACCGCTCCCTTTATCTGTGGTGCTGGGCCCATCAGCAAGAACCCTCAGCGGTGAGCTGGGATGGGCTTGACCTCTTTTCCTTGGCTAATCTTGACTCCTTTCCCCACTCTGCAGTGGAAGGCTTGCAGAAGAGCCAGGCATGGAGGAGAGGCCTGCTCAGAGGGAGGTTGGGAAGTGGTCCCTAGGGCCAGCATGTGCTGCAGCATCACTATAGGGTGCTGTGTGTCATGACAGTCAGCAAGAAGAGCCCACTGCTGAATCCTCCAGGCTCTGCCACAGCTGCTGGGGTGCAGGGACAGCAGAAGCAGTTCTGTACTGGAGGCTTTCCAGGGTCAGGGATGGAGAGCTGCTGCTCTTAGGAATAGCAAAGCCTAAATGGGTGTTTTAAATGGGGAGAGTGAGGGAGCTCTGACCTTGCGGTGGAGCTTGTCCCTCCACTGAGGCAACAGCACCTCATTTCCTGATGGGGTTTTTCCCAAGTGTGCCTGGATCCACGTGAGCGATCCAACTGCTCCAGCACCACCCAGAGCTGCTCTGGGATCTCCCTGACTACCCAGGGTTTGGGATCCGCTTCCTGGCTTACATGGGTGGAAAATGACAAAACAACTTTTGCAACTTTGGAGTTTGCCTGTAGCACTTGACCCCATCTCTGTAGCTTCATGACCATTAGGACTTCTCAGCAAAGCTGAGGCTAGCAGGAAGAAGGGAGAAAAAGGAGACGTGTGGTTTAGTGCTGTATGTTTCCAGCTTTGTGTGGTGCTCTTGGTATCACTGATGTTACTCATCTTCATCAGAGGATCTCGGGGAGTTTGCAGAAGCTGCAAGTAGCTTAAAGTTTATCTGGAATTCCCTCTCATCACCCAAAGCCCTTGTCTGAAGTTCTAATAAGTCCATATCTCCTTTTCTGTTGGTTACCTAAGGGAAATGCCATCTTTCTGTGCTATTAGGAATGTCACAAGCTTTCCATGCACTGGCAAAACAAGCTGTTTGTCCTGGATGCTGGTAGCAGCAAGGTCAGGAGGTCTCCTTTGCCAAGGGAGCTGCT